AATTCGTGGTATGTTTAAAGGTAACCATTAACTTACAATAAGGGGCCGTCCATAAATTACGCAACACAAAATTCACGATTTTTAACCCCCCCCCCCTCCTGTCACAGGTTTATCTATACAAATTCTACTAAATATTCTTTTAATGTCACAGTTCGTCTACCCTCTCCCCCTCCTAACGTCTAACGTAATTTATGGATGGCCCCTAAGCTATCTAATAAATTTGAGAACAGTAAATTGTAATTTCGTTTATTTATTTCCAGCAGATAATAAACTTACCAATAAAAAGTTAGTTATAATGATTAGACAACTATTCTTCCTAAAAACCATTATTTAAGTAATTCGTTCAAGGAAAAGGAAAACCTTTAATTCGTTCGAGGAAATATAATTTAGTCATACGGTAGAAAATGTGCACATTGTTTGTACCTACTGAGTTTCTTATCAGTAAATTACAATTCTATTAAAAAAGAGTTGTAATTTACAATTATAGAAAATATTCATGTAATCACGATGAGCTTAATGGTTAGTGTGTTCGGTATGGAATGTCAGATTTTTGGGACTCGTTTGGATTATCTCGACCTTTGGTATGATGTCCAGAATCCCGAGAAAAAGGGATATGTCCTCAGAAAACAGAAGTTTATTACAATACTAGTTTTCGCCAGCGCCTTCGTCCGCGTGGACCCTAGCGAAATGTTTAGTGGGATAAAAAGTTCTATTATCTAAGTCAGCTAATACCCTAATCTGTAGCTAATCTGTATACCAAATTTCATCAAAATCCGTTCAGTAGTTTCGGCGTGGTTGACCGACAAACATCCAAACATATTAATAGGATTAATCAGTCGCTAGGTAGGCATAGGTGGAGCAGCTTTCGAAAAAAATGTGGAAAAAGGGACTTATTTTGCAGATTGAAATATTTTAGATTGTGGCCGAGTATTTTAAAGATTTGCCCACATAGTTAGGTCTCATCTAGTTAACATATATGTGGAGGTTAAGCAACTTTCTCTTAAGGGTGATCAATAGGATGCGTGACCAAATTTTGCACTCTTTTTTGCACAACTTGTACGTTAAGCTGATGGTCCCGGCTTAATTTGCAGTTTATTCAGTTTAGTTCTTCTATGAGCATATGGGTATAAACCTTATTAAGGTTAAAAACGACTGCCCTAAATCATCATGACAAGGTTGGTAACCAATAGCTCAGTTACACCGGTCGATGATTTATGTGTCTCGCTTTCATTGGTTGATCATTGTTATTTGACCAATGAAATGAATGCGCAGAGGTCTCCCGCTCTCCGAATGCTCACTCCATCGACCAGTATAACTGAGCCATAATACGAGTACGAGTATAAGTTAAACATCTGTGTAATCTCATGATATAAAATATAATGTCTAAAAACAAAATACACAATCATATCTTAATCTTCAACCGCTTTCTTGCATTTTTTCAAACAGCTTTTAGCAATTGTTTTTTTCTTTTTCTTTGAGCAGTCGTAATCTTTACAAACATAATTAGTTGCGACTTTACAAGCTTTTTTGCACGGACTTCGTTTTTTCTTTTTCTTCTTATCTTTCTTCTTCTTTTTTCTTAATATATCTATAACTTTAAAAGTATCGTCGTTGCCAATATGTGGGCTGAATAATACATCGTTTATAGTGTGAGCAGGCAAAGTTTTATTGAGTATCATATTCTTCATTCCATTTCTTTTAACTCTATGGGTTGTGTCTTCCTGTTTAAGATATTGCTCTAAGGTCGGCGATTTGTTCTGAAAAAGTATTTTTTGTAAATATCATAGTATCTATATAATACTAGGTACCATTGCAGATAACCAGATCTATAGCAATTTAAAATTATAACCAGATGGCCGAACCATTTTAAGATTGTGATCCGATTTTGGTAATTCTAAGATTACGAATCGATTTTGGTAATTTAAAATTTAAGAAGCAGTAAACTTTGATACATCGCAGTTGGATACAAGCAAAGGTATTCGGCACTTAAAAACTGTGTACGGTAAAGTAATACTCGTATATATGATATGCATAGGAGTAAGTTAGAACGTTTTAAAGGCCTATATGGTTAAAAGGGGGCAAACGGCAAAAACTGGTCAAACAGGGAAGTCTTCCTTTTGTTCGTGGTCGAGTTGTAAGATGATTTAATTACAGAAGCACTGCAGATCGTGAATGTTTTCTATATCTTTTCACTTTTGATTCATATGGCATATTATAATTAAGGCAATTTGTGGAAAGTGTCAACTAATAGCGTAATGCCCGCCAAATACTATTTTGAATTAATTACTTGCAAGCCGTTACTGGTGTTGAAGATGAAGTTAATGACGAATATTTGGAAATATTACATTGAGAAAATTGAAGAGAGTTTTGAATTTTCTTGTTTTGATTGTGACAACCCTTTTTAGAAATATCATGTAGTCGTTTTATTACAAAACCAAATTAAATTTAATTATTTTCTGTTTACGTGCCCTCTTAATTTACTTACTATCAAAACGATAACTGCAAGTGATTTTTCTGTATCAGTGGAAAAACTTTGTGGATATCTGCGCTCATAGAAATCTTGAAAAACTTCATCTTCTGTTGAAACTGGTATATTAATTGTATGCTGTATATTAAAATAATATATTAAAATTTCCGAATAAATACGGCTAAAGTCTATGGAAAGTGAAAGAAAAGAACAATGACTTTAAGTATAATGTGAGAGTTGAAATTTATCGAGATTTATCGCTACCCATAGACCTCTGTATCGTTTCTGAGTACTGTCTATCTATTGTATATACATCTGTCTATTGTACCGAGTGGAGGTCAGCGTCTCGTCAAACAAAGTGAAGTACAGTATTTATCTAATATGGCTCACTGACGTACATGCGCATAAGGTTTAATTTCTAAGCACGCCAATTGTTGACCAAGCGGAATGATTATCAAATATCACTCCATTGGACGATAAAACAATATCTAAGCGCATGATTCTAAGAGTAAGTAAGACGGGCACCTGACACGTTCTATTTTACACATTAACGTTATCGAAACAAGATTCAGTATAAATTTTAATTGCATATTCAATCGCCAAAATTGATTGGTCTGTTTTGCGCAAACGATTGGATTTATGGATAACAATACGATGTCTTCTTTTTCTTATTTCGTTCACGTGGATTAGCTATTACATGATTCTCATACGTGTAACTTTGGAGATACGATATGTATCGCGTTGTTACAAAGCTAGATGCACTTTAAATGGATTGATAATATACACTTACCCCAGTACCAATTAAAATTATTAACAATAACATTCCCAACATAAACATATTTCATCAAGACATTGTTTTGAAAAATTGTTTTTAATTCAGCATTGCAAAATTGCTTATCACACAATTAACTGTAAGATCATTGAAACTTTTATGTTGAAATTAATTACTAGTTACAACCAAATTTTTTTTTCTTATTCCAATAATTACAATACCATGTTGGGATTGTTAACTTAAAGACATTACAAAAAGGTTTAAAGTCAAGTCATATATCCATCATCATCATCAGCCCTTTATTTCGTTCCCACTGCAGGGTCTCAGGCCTTCCTTATGGATGGTTAAGGAGCATGGGCCATGACCCTCCACGCTGGCCCAATACAGATTGGCGAAAGTAACTCTGTCTGTCCCTCTTTCGAATCGAATAGAGAGAATGGGCCATACCATGACCCACCACAAGGTCCCAGTGTGAGATAGTGGGTATTAACGACTACAAATGCAGCTGGGACCAACGGCTTAACGTGCCTTCCGAAACACGGAGTAGCTCGAGATAATAATTTTTTGGTCACCCATCCCGTGACCGACCGTTGTGAAAGTTGCTTAACGACAATGATCGCGTCCCGCGGCACTTATCCACTAAACCACCGAGCTACACATAAATCCATTCTAATATTTTAAATGCGAAAGTAACTCTGTTACTCTCTCGAATCGAAAGGAGAATGGGCCATATCATGACCCAACACACGGGCCCAGTGTGGATTGGAGGGTATTAATGACTACAAATGCAGCCGGGACCAACGGCTTAACGTGCCTTCCGAGGTTACCCATCCTATGATCGGCCATTGCGAAAGACCGAGTGTTGCTGCGCCATCGAGCTTCTTATGAGACTTACACTAGCCTAGGAATTTGTAATTGGTGAACAACGACAAAGCTCGCAAGTACTACTCGTACGAGTTAACATGATACCTGACGCTCTATTCTATGTCTATGAAAACGAATTTAGTCTATTACCTAATAATATGGCTCTAAAGAAACTAAATTTTGATACAACAGAGGGATCTTGACATTGCTTCTGATGCACAAATATCGACATGAACATAATATTATAAAGCTGAAGAGTTTGTTTGTTTGTTTGAACGCGCTAATCTCAGGAACTTCTGGTTCGAATTGAAAAATTATTTTTGTGTTGAATAGACCATTTATCGAGGAAGGCTTGTTTTATATAACATCACGCTGCAACTAATAGGAGCGAAGAAATAATGGTAAACGCGGACGAAGTCGCTGTCGGCCACTATAAAATTATAAGAATGATTCCAAATGTTTGTTCGAGGACAAATAGAACAGGCCCTCAGGTATCATGATAATTAGTCATTAATTTTTGTTTGCTAACTAGAATTAGGTATATCTAGCTCGATCCACCTATTTCCACAGGTGGGTAGCTTCTTGATTTTATATAATACTGGATATAGGAGACGTGATTCACATATATATGAATATGGGGCCATTTCAACGAAATTACAAACATACACGTTCGATTAATAGCTTCCATTTTTCATTCGGTTAAAAGTAGAAAAGAAATACGCGAAAATACTCGTATCAATTTTGTCATGCCGAGCATCGTGGAATTGCTTTTTCTTTTTCGCTCAACGTAAATACTGCTTCGACGCGTGGATCCGATGTCGTAATCTGTTTCCGTGTAAAAGATTTTATTAATAGGTAATTAAAACACCAAAAAGTAAATACTCATTTTTTGTGTAATCAACTAAAGTTCATTCTGCAATTTGTGCTACAACGCCTATTGAATGCCTTCTTTATTTTCCTCGCACAGTAGTATTCTGAACATGTGATTCTATATGCTGATTTGCAAGCCTTCTTGCATCTCCTGTAAGCACTTCTGTTGCAACTTCTCAATGCTTTCCTTAGTGTTTCAATGTTGTCTCCATCTTTATTGTCAGCATTATTAAAATTTTCCTTAATATCTAATTCATGTGAATCGGAATCGTCACTAGAATCGGAATCAGTTCCGCTACTATCGTCTCCCATATGTAAATCTATGACTTCGTTATTTTTTATATTGTTTGTTGGAATTTGCATAATGTTTTTGTCTATACTCGAGGTTCTATCATGTTTTTTAAATGCGGTATTTGTTTGTTGGACGATGTCTGGTGGCTTATCCTGTATTATTTGAATAAGTGAATCAGTATTTTGTAAATTAATAAATATACTTTTATCCATGGGGGTAGATGACCGGTGTCGGTCATTTTAAGATAAAAACTTGATTTTACGAGGAAGTGAAATTTGTCGCATCATGTGGGTATTACATTTTGCCATAATGCACAATTTTAAAAACTGTTAACGGTAAAATAATATATCTTTTATAAGAACGATGCCAAAGCGGTAGTAGACAAAACCAGGTCTTCTGCCGTACCTAATTTCCAAAAAAAATCTAATACATTATATTAAAAGTGTTTTAATTTTTGATATGGAATATGGATGGTTTTGTTTGAAATAATAGCAATGGTTCAGAAAAAAAATATCTACATATAAAAACGTTAATTATGAAATACAATATGAACAAATTTTCATCTTTATCGAAAGTTTAAAATATTTCTTTCGGCTGTTTGGGTGGATTGCCTGAACATTGATAAAAATATGCTCTGTAGTAGGAAAAATGTAATAAGTACTTGAAAAAATCGCCAGTTCTGTTAGGTCCTGAATAACTCAGTTGTTAGAGCAGTCGCCCGGATTGCAAAAAGTGGGCGACCAGGGACAGAGTGGATTTTTTAAGTATTTTAAACTAAGTTTATTTTCTTGTTATTCTTGTTTTGTATACGTACTCAGATATAGGTCAACAGATTCTGAATACACTACGAGAAGTATGCAATTAGTGAAGATGAAAATGTATTAGTTGTGAATCTTTTTTGGCAATAAATATTTGGAAATAGTTTTTGGTCTTTTTAAAGAGTCAGTTATCAAAATCAATGTTTTTGTTTTCTCATAATCACAAACCAATAACTTTTAGAGCAGGTATTCTAGCAATTTACACTAATATTTGATAATTTTTATGCTACTTAACTTCTGCTCCGATTTAAAAAATTCTTTCAACTGCGAGAATCTTCATCATATGCGGGGTGACATAGGATTTTTATAAGCAGGTGGATGCGTGATACATATTTCCTTTTATACTCACATTCATCAGTACTAAAGCAACCATTTCAGGGTTTTGACTGCCATCCAGCATTGGAGACTCAATATCATTAAAGTTGTCATAGTCAAAGTCCCTCCTCAAAACATTTTTTGTGTTTGCGATGTCCTGAAAATTATCACGTGATAATCAAAATTAGGTCTTATGTATTATTTCTGTATGAGTGTTTTGTTTTAAACATGTTCATACTCCTATGATTGTGATATGTTTTTCGCTTATATCATTATAGGCATTATTAGAGGAATGTAATCGAACATGAAATAGTATAACTTGTAGTCAATTCTGACATTCCTTGTATTGTTTTAGCGGATTAGCTGGACTTTTAAAAAATCTACAATTTTTTCACTATTAGCAACAATCAAGAAGAAGAAATTTCAATAATCCTTAGGGGATAATATTCCATATTTGGTTACTTTCCTCTGATGTATTCAAATATGGACTTAGTGTATTTTTTGATTCAGAATAATGTTACTTGTGCAAGTCAATATTACAGATTTGAACAGAGTGACTGCGCTCACTAATATCAATCAGCTCGCCACTAACGAGCAGCTTCTGTTGACATATTGCCTGTCACAAGTAATATTATTCTGAATTCTGAAATACACTAAAACTATATTTGAATATATTAGAGGAAACTAATCAAATATACGATACGAATGTGATGGGATACGAACTCACAACATTTCGATATACGGACGACTGCTCTCACCACTGAGTTAATCTAAAAAAAATTATTTAAACCCGTTCAGTAGTTTTTGCATGAAATATTAAGAAATTTACATACATCCTCACAAAGTTTCGCATTTATAATATTAGTGGGAAACGAGATACTCACGATAAGAAATAATATAACAGTAGGTGGTAAACCTTTATGTATAAATAACATTATTTAAAATATAATTATTTTTCATCAACGATGTTTTTGCTGTTTAGAATGTTGCCTTTGCCTTTGAATGCATCATCGATATTTTTTAATTAAAATATGGCCATTACTTTTTTGATTGCAAATACGTTGCAATACAACGCTTGTTAACTTACATTTTTTAGGATGCAAAATCACAACGCGATTTTGTGAAATAGACAAAAATGTTAATGTTTACGAAAATGAAACACCTTAGGAAGTGTTCGAAGATACAGTGGTTTATTGGAGTAACAATGTCACATCACTACAAGGATGTTACCATAGAGGAGTAAACTTGATGTAAGATGGCTTCCTTCGTGTGCGGTGTGTGTTAAGTTAAACAATGTGAGTCTAAATATTAAATAAAGAAATATATGCTGAAGGTTGGTTTCCGTAATTCACTATCCTCCATCCATAACCGTCAATAGGTTATGGGCCCAGGAGATTCAGATTAATGTTGATTGCTGTTGCGCGAAACACGAGAGGTTATTAAAAAGAAAGATTTTGGAGTTCGGTGGAACAGACGGAATAACGGCGTCACGATGGACGAAAAGAGATGTGTACTGAATGGCAGCAATTGGCCGGTATGGAAATTCCAAATTACGGTTTTGTTAAAGGCGAGAAAATTGTTCGACATCGTTAATGGAAAAAGCATATTATCAAAGGAGGCTACATCAAAAGAGAAAGAGTTATGGGAAGAAAACGATTGTAAGGCGCAGGAGATCTTGGTTACAAGGATCGATGAGCAGGTTTTGACGTATCTATCGTCATGCAACACAAGCCAAGAAATGTGGAATAGACTTATCACTGTATATGAACTTTCTTCACAAGTTAGTGTTCACTTGATTCAACAGCAATTCTTTAACTTGAAGTTTGAGGAGCCTATTCTAAAGTTCATCTCCAGAATCGAAGAAATATCAAGCCAGCTTAGAAGTTTCAATGAAGCACCATCAGACAAAATGATTATAACAAAGATACTGATGACATTACCTGAGAAATATAAGTATTTTGTAAGTGCATGGGAGTCAGTACCAGCAAATCAGCAAAATGTGAAAGAGCTAACATCGAGATTGTTGATAGAAGAGGAAAGGAGTAATAAATCTGAGGAAGGTGGGTCGGGTTCATCAGCATTCCTTATGAGAAATATCAAAAAGAAGATTTCTAACAGTGAAAGTGAGCGTAAGTGTTTTGTGTGTGGTAAAGTTGGCCACTATAAGCGTGACTGTAGGCAAAGAAAATGTTATCGGTGCAACAAAATGGGTCACATAGCTACAGAGTGTAAGCAGCCTGTTAAGTGTTATCGGTGTAATAGAGTGGGACATTTATCTAGAGACTGTAAAACTGCAGAGATTAAAAATAAAAATGATAATGCCTTTTTGGTTCAGGAACCCTTCTGTAAAAATAGTTTTGAATTAATAATGGATTCAGGTGCAAGTGAACATATGACATGTAAGAAAGATTGGCTTTCTAATTTTCTTAAAATTAATAAAAAGGTAATTGTTGGGGATGGTAAATATTTAAATGTAGAGGGAATTGGTAATATTAAGTTTTTGGCATTTGATGGAACAAAGTATTTACCTTCTGTAATGCATAATGTTCTGTATGTTCCTGATTTGAAAGCAAATTTATTTTCTGTAACAAAAGCAATTGATCATGGTTATATGTTAAAGTTAAGTAAAAATTACTGTAAATTTATGTCAGGTAAAATAGTTGTTGCTCAAGCCAAACGAGTTGGAAATTTGTATTTAATGGATTTTAGAATTCAATGTGTATTTGATAGCTCTGTATTTTTGAGTTTGTCTGAATGGCATGAGAGGTTAGCCCACCAAAATTTAAGACATGTAAAAGAGATATTACATAAACAGAATATTAAATATGAAGGGCAGATTGATTATAGTAGGTCTTGTATACAGGGGAAACAGCATAGGTTACCTTTCTTTGACAGTAATAGCCGTGCGAATCGACCTGGAGAGTTGGTGCATGCAGACTTATGTGGTCCGACGGAAGTGCGTTCATTGGGAGGGTCATCATATTTCTTATTGCTTAAGGATGACTACAGTAATTACAGGTATGTGTATTTTCTTAAAAGTAAGCATGAAACGAAAGAGAGAATTAAAGTTTTTCTTATGCAGTTTGAGAATGAGTTTGAGTGTAAGGTTAAAAGGATTAGAACAGATGGAGGTGGTGAATTTAAAAATAGGGATTTAGAAATGATACTAAGAATGAAAGGTATTGTACATGAAACCACTGTAGCATACACACCAGAAAAGAATGGAAGGATAGAAAGAGAAATGCGAACAATAGTAGAGTCAGCTAGAACTATGATGATTAATGCTAATGTTGGTAAAGAATTGTGGGCAGAAGCAGTAAGTAATGCAGTATACACAGTAAATAGAACAGGCAATAGTAGCCAAAAGGGTAAAACTCCATATGAACTGTTGTATAAGAAAAGTTATGATATAAATAATTTGCAAATTTTTGGAACTGAAGTTTATGTACATATTCCTAAACAAAAGAGACAAAAGTGGGACGTCAAAGGAATAAAGGGAAGGTTTGTAGGTTATGGCAGTTATAGCAAAGGTTATAGAGTATGGTTTGAAGATAAAGGAGAAGTTGAAATTATGAGAGATGTAGTGTTCTTACATGGAAGAATTAACAAAGAAGAGTTAAAACAAACTAATGAGAAGAAAGTTAGTAGCATATATGAGAAAGAGATAGAAGAAAGTAATGAGATAGATAAAACTGAAAAATTGATGGACAAAGGTGAGAGTGAAGAAGAACAATATGAGGAATACATTGAAACTGAAAATGTAGTGGAAGAACAGGGAAGAGCATCTGAAGAACAGAGAAGTAATCAAAAACAGATTAAAGAAAACCGAAAAATAACAAAGCAGAGTGACACAGATACAGAATATGAAGAAGAAGAATATTTGGAAGAGGAGTGGTTTAGTCCTGATGAAACTAATGTCAAAGAAGGAAAAGTAAGAAGAAAAATAAAGAAACCAAAATGGACAGAAGACTATGAACTAGGAATGATGGTACAAGGAGAAGAGGAATTAAGTTATGAAGATGCAATAAATGGTAAAGACAGTAAGAAGTGGATAGAGGCAATAAATGAGGAGTTAAAAATGTTGAAGAAAAATAAAACATGGATTGAGACGGAGTTACCAAAAGAGAAGAAAGCAATTGATAGTAAGTGGGTATTCAAAATAAAGAAAGATGGAAATACTAGTGATAAAATATATAAAGCTAGATTGGTAGCAAGAGGATTCAAGCAAGAAGATAAGTTTGATCATTCAGAAGTTTATGCGCCAGTTGCAAAATTACCAACGTTGCGGATTTTAATGGCTATTGTTAGCAAATATAATCTGCATATGGATCAAATGGATGTTAGAAGTGCTTTCTTACATGGAGAAATAAATGAAGAGGTATATCTAGAAAAACCCAGAGGTATGAAAGAAGATGGTAAGGTACTAAAACTTCAAAAGTCACTCTATGGACTCAAAAAGTCACCCAGATATTGGAATATGAAATTTGATCAATTAATGATTCAGGAAGGGTTTATACGTAGTAAATGTGATTATTGCTTATATTACAAAGAAGGTGTTAAATTCTACTTGTTACTATATGTTGATGATATATTGTTGATTGCAGAAAATAAAAGAAGTATAGAGGAAATGAAGAGAGTATTAAAAGAAAATTTTGAAATGAAAGATATGAAAGGTGTTAGCAAGTATTTAGATATAAATATAAAGAAAAATGAATCAACGATAGAACTTGATCAAGAAGATTACTTAAAGAAAATTTTAAAGGAATACAAAATGGAAGATTGTAAACCAGTATCTACACCTATGGAACCTGGATTGAAAATTTATAAAGGCAAGCAGTCTAATGAAGTTTTGATAAGAAAATGCAGAAAGCTTATAGGTAGTCTCATGTATGCAATGTTAGGTACTAGACCTGACATATGTTTTGCTTTGAGTTATTTAAGTAGGTTTCAAGGATGTGCAAATGAGGATGTTTGGAAGGGTCTTAAACGTATATTGAGGTATATAAAAGGTACTTTGAATGTTAAATTAGTTTATAAAATAGGTTCAGCAAATATTAATACTCCACTGGTAGGTTATGTTGATGCAGATTGGGGAGGTGATGATGCAGACAGGAAGTCCACATCAGGATTCATTATGAAGGTATATGGTTGTACAGTATCTTGGGCATCATGTAAGCAACAATGTGTTGCGTTATCTTCTACAGAGGCCGAATATGTAGCTCTTGCAAAAGGTATAATGGAGGGATGTTGGATAAGAAATTTAATGAAAGAACTTAATTTTGAATGTAACAATGTAACTATTTTTGAGGATAATCAATCTGCAATTCATATAGCTAAAAATCCAGAACATCATAAGAGACTAAAACACATAGATTTGAAATTTCATTTTATTAGGGAGAAAGTAGAGAAGAATATTGTTATGTTAAAGTATATTAAGAGTGAGGATCAAATAGCTGATGTATGTACTAAGCCATTAAGTAAATTGAAGTTTGAAACTTGTAGAGCTAAATTGTTTTAAAGTTTAAGTTATGATTATGAATAGAGAAGTGTTAAATTTAATATTTAGTTTTAGTGATGTAACATTGAGGAAGGGTATTGGAGTAACAATGTCACATCACTACAAGGATGTTACCATAGAGGAGTAAACTTGATGTAAGATGGCTTCCTTCGTGTGCGGTGTGTGTTAAGTTAAACAATGTGAGTCTAAATATTAAATAAAGAAATATATGCTGAAGGTTGGTTTCCGTAATTCACTATCCTCCATCCATAACCGTCAATATGGTTAACGTGTTCGGCTTGCTTAACACGTTCCCAGCGGCACAAATTTATCTATACTTTTCATTACTGCGTTAAGAGTTGTTTTAAATCTCGTCCTATACCCGACATTGTAGCGGCACGAGGCGTATTAAACCCCACCGCCCAAAAGAGACTAGTCTTTTTTTTGGCGCCAAATGAGAAAAAACGGACGACTTTGGTTTTGCTTATTATTAACAATGAGTTGAATAACATAGATCTGCTGCCGCCCGTGGTTAAATTAGTTAGTTTAGATTCTATGGGTAAAATAAATGTGTGGGTCTAATGCACCTCGTACCGTACTGAAAAATGGCAGGTTTTCATATAATTTAGTGATGGGAAAATAAATATCGATTTTATTTTATTGTTTTTATTTATCAAAGTTATGGACGGAATTAATACAAAAAAGGGAAAAAAGTTATGGATGTTTTTCATTGAAACATGTCAGACAATTAGATTTTTTGCAAACAGTGCATTCTCTGAGAATTTTTTTGGTTTTTTGTCTGCCTCATGACATGTCAAGAATGTACGGAGTTTTTCGTAGCATCCAACACATCTCTTCTTCTTTGGACCCTTTTCGAGCTGATGTGATTTCTTTGCAGTGGATTCTGAAAAGTAGGAACGAGTTGAGTAATGAGTAGATTATAATATCCAATAATCTGGCCCCTTTTTATTTTCGCATTAACAACCTTCTTTGGCAAACATTTTCTTCTTAAGTTTTAAGTTCCACATAAAAAGTTTTTTGTGATAGAAGTTCTTCTGCCAAACTCAACGTATAGAAATATAGAAGTAAGAAATTATCTACTATCACGATTCTTCCCTCTTCTGTTAAATTTTTCACAAAAGAAAGTGGACCGACCAGGAAAGTAGACCCATGGTTCTCACCGTACGTAGGTAGGTATTATTTATATACCTAGATAACTTGGCATAATTTTTTCACCTAGACAGAGTATATTTGTGACTTACCTGTTTTTGAAATATCTTCCTGTATTCTGAATTTGGCTCAGATTTTCCTTCATCTTCCTCCTTGATTAACTTTTTTCGGTAACGTTTCGACATGATAATTTTCAACACAAAGACAGCGCAGCGGTCTTACTTCATCGCGTGCGCAGCCTCAACTGCGTTGCACAACACTAGCCAGGTGAAGCTAGCGTGGGGTGCGGCACGAGGTGCGCGGGGATACGAGGCGTTTGCAACCTCGTTCCGCACTGTGTTGGTATTATTATTTGTTCAGTGCGGCGTGAGGTCTAACAAACCCGACATTAGGTTGGTGTACCATAGAACTAGGAATCAATAGCACATCTCAAACATATAGTTATCATTCTCCTACACTGAACCAGACGGAAGTTATCGTCAACTGTAATATGAATTAACGTAACCGCCAAAATGGCGATATTGAGTTATATATACAGTTCAACTGCAAATTTTCCGCTCTATCGATTGGTGTATTTAAAATCTCGATATCTTGAAAAAAATGTCGAGTACCTTAATAAAATTTTAAGTAGATTTTTTCATTTATATTAACTTTTGTGACGTATGATGCAATTTATAAAAATAGATAAACTGTAATTTACTGTAAGGGCAGAATAAGAAAATATTTTTAACGTAACTACTCAATGAATGACAATATCAACAATGGTCATGTGTAAAAAACTGAATTTTAGAATGAAAGATATTAGAATTGCTACTTTTAAAAATCGGATTTAAATAATGAGATAAAATACACTATGAAAGAAGACGCAGAAACTTTCCGATTTCCCATGGGTCAAGGAACTAAAATTTCGTCAGGTAAGGGAAAGGGCAAAGGAAAACGAACAACAGCAAAGAAACTGGAGCCTAATGAAAGGAGTTTGGTCGATAATAAAACTCATAATGATTTACAGAAACTGTACCGGGCACGATTACCAATTTCTACGAAAAATACATGGATCTAAAAAAATTGTGCGATGACGAAGTTATACCTAAACAGTATATTCAAGATTATTTACAGTTACCCTACACTATGAAAACTGATTTCTTAGATGACATAGGTACTTAATAAGAGGAGGAAGAGAACGTGACTAGTGATGAAGAAACTAAGGAACATAGTATAAAAACTGAAAAACCAAATAAGATAAATAAAAAAAAAGAGATAAGCTAGATACAAGAGTTTCGTGCTCAAAAATACAATGTCGTAATTTAAGAAATTCAGATTTACAACCCACAGCAATTGAAAAAAAGGAGCAACAGGAAGAAAAGGCACTAAAGGTGAAAAAGACTGCAAAGGAGAAAAAGGAAAAAAGGCAGTAAAAATAACATTACGAAAGAGAACGGGAAACGTTAAACAAATACAAAAGAAAAAAAGTGGTGAAGCAAAATAGAGAAAAATAATTAATCATTTCAAAGATAAAGTAGGTACTTATTTTGTTGATGAAAACAATTATGTTGGATTATTTTATTTTCTTGTTATTGTCATGAATAATTATGTTTCAATACGTGTTAATTGAAAAGTTTTCTCTTTATATCATTACTAAAACTTTGTCTACTTGCACACGATTTTTCAATTTAGATTTAGAATAATTCTATTGCCGTCAGTTTATTTCCAATTTATGAAAAAAATGATTTGTTTTTATTTGGCCTAAACTGTGCTTCTTCAGATTAAAGTTTTAGTTTATGGACATCTAAAACTAAACTTTTACTAATCTAATGCTATTTCGATATTTTTTTTAGATTTCCTAAATTGGTTTAGTTTGTTAACTTTTTTAAAATCGTTTATTAATTATTATGAAAGTAGTAGTTATTCATGAACCCCTTACTAATAAACCCTATTTAACTTAAACAGTATTTAAAAGTGATGCTGTCCTGTTAAAGCAATATTGACATAAAAGTCACAGCATCACTTTAAACAATATCTAAGTTAAGCTGAAGCTAAACAAGGTTTATAAGTAAGGGGGTTAATTCGTAGCTGAAATGATTGTTCTTTCAGTAGATTTTTTTTAATTTATAGCTATTGTAAGTACTTTGGTACTATTTGAATAAGGAAAATGAAACAAATAGGTGCTTAATAATTATTGCATTCGGAGACTGATTTGTTTTGTAACTTTGATCTCAAAAATAATTACGATGTTATTAATTGAAAGCAATAAAACTGTTTTTCTAATGTGGCTTTTTCATACTGAAACCCTTTTTCACAAACTAGCAGTAAATGTAAAGATTATTCTATTTTAGACCTTAACATAAGAGAATAGGAATGAAAATTCATGAATCATCATACTATAACGTATATCCATACACTAAAAATAGAGTGATATACGTTAACGATTTTTATATTTTTAGTACTATACGTTAAATTTGGAGAAATGCAATGTGAGTTACTTTAAAGCTGTTTATATTTTTTTCTACAAAAATCAAAGTAACTCGATATTTTTTCGAAAAAAGTGACGTAACCACCATGTCATCTTGGAAAATATAAAACTAGGCTTCATATGGTTTATTTATATTAATAGATCTAAACATTTTACAGAAACAGTTAAAACAGTATTTAAATCGGATTAGTACATAAAAAGTTATAACTGTTTTTGTAATTTCAATTTTGTTTTTTGGCTCTCCTGTAAAGTAGCCATTTGGCGATTACATTAATTCATATTACGGTTGACGTTATGCCTCTCGCACGACAGAGAAGTTAAAGGTTTTTCTTACCGCTGTAAAGACCAGACACGGACGAGGTGTTTTAAGCCGCGTTCCGCACCTATCGTGTTAAGGAACTTTTGCAATGGTTAATCATATGGCTAGTGACCAAAAATTATTAGTTCGACCTCTGTGCTTCGGAAGTCATATTCAGCCGTTAGTATTTTAATGGTGGAATCAGTAGCTAAAATTTGCTCAATGAAATCCTGGGTGTAACTCTTCAAACTCTCGATTTTATTAGCAAATAATATAATTCAAATCAAATCGCTTATAAGTTAATTCTACGATACTGACTCTATGCGGGTCTCGATCAGAAATGTCCATTTATTGATTGAAACACGGGAACAAGTGTAAAAGTATCGATTCTGAACTTCCGAAAATAGTTGCTTAAAGTCAGTTAATCTATCTATTTCCATTTTTTTTTAATGGAATAGGGGGCAGTCGAGCAGACGGATCACCTGATGGTGGGTGATTACCGCCGCCCATGGACACCTGCAACACCAGAGGAGCTACAAGCGCGCTGCCGGCCTTTGAGGAACGAATATGCGCTACGCTTGAAAGTTTGAAAAAAAAAACATGTTTAATAGGTCAGTCTACTCAAAGAGGGCGGATCATGACTTTATAAACTAGCTCCGCATTTGAACGAGTACATGAACGAAAATTGTACAAAGTTAGGATCATTCTTATAATTTTGTTGATACAAGATCCGTGAAGTTTTACATCATAAATTATTGAAAAATGGGTCGCATTTGAGTTATATTAGTGTTTCGAACATTGGCGAAATGTTTTTTTTTTATTTATTATATGGTTTACTAACATTCGGTTACACAATAAACTTACGTACTAAAGATTGTAAAAAGATGTATCACATGCATGTATGTAACGAACAATTACAGGTAAACACCGCACGCTTAGAACAAACAAATAACTATTATTTTCTTAACTAATGTGTACGAAACAACTTTTGATTAATATTCAATAATTACTTGAACCATTAATTGACATTAAAATTAAACCACTTAACATAGTACCACTCTAATAGTACAATTACAAGTGTTACCTATTGAGGGCATTGTTTCCATGTCTCAAACAAAATCGATTTGATCCTGGCAAATGTGTCACCATGTACATCAATGATGCTGTTGTTTTCGTTTAGGAGTCTACAAAGTCTTGGAATAAGTGAATTTGCACCTAACTGCGACTTACGATATGGTGGGCAGAGGAGCGACATTGGGTTACGGGGGCATCTACTGGGAACTCTAAATTTAAACAAGCGAAGGAGAGAAGGACAATCAAATTTCTCATTAAAAACTTTAAAAACAAATGATAGATCTAACAATTTTCTACGGTTAGCCAGTGATAGTAATCCAAAGTAATTTAACCTTTTTTCGTAGGATCTAATACTCTTAGTGATTCTTTCCTTAAATGACAAATAAGAAACGAATTTTCTTTGTAGTCGCTCTAACTTCAAAGAATGTGTAGCATAGTGCGGTCTCCAGACCACACTACAATACTCCCCCAAAGCGCGAACAAGGCTACTGAATAACAAAATCTTTATTTTACTATTTTTAAATTCCTTAGTGTTACGAATCACGAATCCTAACGTCCTATTCCCTCTTTTGTATATATTTTCCATGTGCGGAATAAAGGTCAGTTGAAAAGGTCAGAGAAATGTTGACGATAGAGTAGGCCTTCTGATTCCCAAACTCCTGGATTTAACTTCGGTGTTGTTGTATTGTACCAGCATTCAAAATCATAGGCTACATACAACTCAACTTAATTTTGGCATTAATGAAAAATGCTTGAAAATCCACCAACCCTGAGATGGTTTTTTTAAGCGTTTTTCATTAGGAATATTTTCCAGTACAGCATTTTTAATGCAACATTGATCAATGAGGAAGTATTAAAAAAGTTCCCGAAATCAAACTAGATGTCGCTACGGTACTTTCTTGATTTCTCCATGACAACCCTGCCGGTTTTTTTCATGTATAAAAGTAAATTAATTTTCAAAACTCAATAAACAACTCATATTTTCGAATTTTACAAATTTCAGTTTTTAATACGAGTATGTTAGTTAAAAGGAACGCAAATGACTATCATTGGTCCATTCGTTTCCTGCAAAAATTAACTTTTGCTAGAGTCGCCATCTAGTGAGGTGCTTCTTTAGTGCTTTCTTTTTTTTCTTAAATACTTTCTCATTATAATAACAACAAAGTTATTATAGTTATCATACTTTTTATTTGTAATAAAACGAAACACTTCAATGTTTTATAACATTTTTTATTGATAGTAACAAAATGCAGCGAATAAAATTATTTTTGTTTAACATATTTTAAAGATATTTTTATATATATAAAAAATGTTACGTGTCGACATAAATATAGCAACGACAGCTTTATTTTTCATGATTATGTTAGTAAGTAAACTAATAGTTTGTCCTTAAATTTATTTTAGGGAGTTAATGATTTATGAAATAGATTCTTTTTTTTTCTGATATTTTATACGTAACATTATATTTAAATGTAATGTTGCATATTAAGAATCATAATTTTCGGTTTCAATAACTCTATAATACGATATTTAGTTATTTCAAATAAAACAAAACGTTAGAATAAAAATAAATAAATATTAGAAAACATTCCAATTTGAATTGCTTTATAAATTATGGAGTATCCGAGAAAACGAAATTAATACATAACCCAGACTCGAGGCAATTTAGAAAAGTCCTTTATCTACATTGAATTGATCGGGATTCGAACCCCGGACCTCAGAGGTGGCGGCAACTTGAAACCGGCGTTCGAACCACTCGGCTACGAAGGTCATCCAAGTTTGTCAGAAAAAACTATTCTTTTTACTCATGCTCCTATAAAAAAGGAAAAAAGTAAACATTATAGGTATATTTATTTTCCTTGTTTATTACACCACATTTTCTTTCCTCTATATTATATCTACATAGAGGAATAAATGTAATAAATAAAGATAATTAGAAAGAGAACAATTTCAACGATTATTAAGAAGAAATGTAATTACTTGCTTGTATATTTATTTCGTTATATTTCTTCTATAATTTTATGTGAGTATAATACTAGTTCTTTTACTATAGTTTTAATGTTTATGTCGCCTTGTCCTAAAATAAATGTGATATTAACAAAGGATTAAACCTTCGAATTAATTTACTTAATTTTTCAGAATTCGGTAACACCAAATTTAGATCTAACCGAGGAATCTGATTACGTGGTCACTTTTAGCGGAAAGAATATCAGAGAAAAAAAGTTAAATATTTCCGAAGGGAAAACAGAAAATTATCTTTCTTCTAATGAATCCGATGAAAAAGCTTTAGGTGATTATATCAAAGATTCAGACTCGAAGACTGGTCTACCGAAAATACCTAATATACCCAATATACCTAATGTACCTAATCTACCTAATGTGTCCTTTCTGAAAGATTGGGCGAAGAAATGTCACACGAAAGTCGATAGTCATTGTTTGAAACACTGCAATGGAGCTTTGAAACATGTGTGTAAGAAACATAAGTTTAAATCTTGGGTATATTCCTTCATAAAATCCGAGTGTAAAAAGGGATGCAAATCAAAGAAGGTTGAAAACAAAAAACCGAAAGCAACAACAAGATTGGTAAGGATGGAAAATGATAGATTAGGAATCCTTAGTAGAATCTCAAGATTCTTAGGTGACATTGGTCAGATATTTCGCGATTCTCTTAATGTATATAATTAAACAATTAATAACGATAGTGTATTTCCTTTTTCAAATTAACTTGCGCCACCTGGTGTAGTTGTAGTGGGAACGCTCTCCAGAGAAGTTGTTTCTGTTTAAAGTTTAAGATTTAAAGCTTGGTTATGACATAAGGCATCATTCAATCTTAATGAGATTTTGCCACTTGATTTTGTAAGTTAAAAAAGACTCAGCTGAACCTTTTTCGCTTGCTTAATATTAAATTACGGGAAGGCCTGAGCCTAGGCAGTGGGTAAATTAAAAGGCTAGTGATAGTGATGATAGTTTAATATCGTCATGGAGCGAGGGTGCTGCTATCTATTGGCAATTACAAGTATGTGTCGGCTGTATAATGATTTTGTAGTCGAGCATTGTTCACTAGATATCTTCAACTGAAAAATACTTACTTTTAAAAGACAAGTCCAAGGCATCCGGCGCTCTTAGAAGCATGTGTTTGTCTGTATTCTTTTTATGTTATTTAGCTGTGTTCTTTGTTTTTTCTTTTTATATAATGTTCTGCGGCTACGTTTTAATGTTACATTGTATATTTGGTCCATACTATGCTCACTTGTTTAAGAGTTACTGTATGGTTTATTCCTTAGTTATGTATATTTATTTCAATTATATTACTGTAACTTGTTTTGTGAGCTAAATAAATAAATAATTACGTTCCAGTTTGCAAAGCACGGATGTTTTAGCTACTCGTCACTAGATGGCGTTGTAGTCTTTTAAATTGCGCCAACGATTTTTCGAATCAATTGTCTCGATTCAACTAATTAGTGAATGACTTCACGTACAGTGCATCTTGCCGCCACATTCTACGTAGGTAAAATGTGACGTCTGCGCCCGAAGATTGTCCAATGAGGAAGTACTTGTTTTTAAAAATAAAAAAGCACCTCCACTAGATGGCGCCTCTAACAAAAGTTGATTTTTGCATGAAACGAACGGATCAAAGATAGTCACTTCCGTTCCTTTTAACTAACATATTAAAAAAACTGAAATTTGCAAAGTTCGAAACTTAGATATCAATACAAATACGAAAAAGTACAAATGGAATATGAATTGCTTATTGAGTTTTGATAACTAATTTACTTTTACACATAAAAGAAAACGGGAAGGGTTGTCATGGTCAAATCAAGAAAGTATCGTAGCGACATCTAGTGTGATTGCGGGAACTACGGGTTTTTTAAAGTACTTCCAGAATTTATAATATTTCTTATCAACAACTTCTCTTCTCTTGTTTTATATAAAAATAAGAACGGTAATGTAATTCATAAAACCATTTTCTTAAACAATTCTTAAGCCGTTTATTGAACAAACTGAAAATTAAATTATACTTTTAAACAACAAATAACCAAATATAATTATTTATATTCACTCATATACTATACTTAGATGGGTAAATTACAAATAACGGCAATATCAATCTGGTGGGATTTTGTAAATGTTTCTGAAATTGCACATTTGAATCAAACAAGACATTAAACTATCATAGTACACTTATGCATATTTAAAATCTTTGATTTAAATCTGACGTAACCATACTGCCACCTGAGTGGTAAGTGTAAATTTTACGCTAACACGTTCACTAGTGAGCGCGTTAAGAATTTGTATGGAGATTTGTAGTTCTTGGTAGTTACCGCTAGAGGGCGCTGTACCGGATTCCATACTAAAAATCTTAACGCTCTAACGATAGACAGTGAACGTAAACGTCTAAAAAACTCACACTAAGCACTCTGTGTAGTTACATACGTCAAACAAAAGCACGTCAGAGCCACGGTGCGTAAAGTTTTCATTTAGTAATTTGGAATACAGCCCTGCGATTCTGTGAAAATCAAAACCCGAATACGAATTCACTCAGGTGTCCGAATTCACTTCAAAAAGCAGCATCCCCTCTACCTTGAATTGGTAATAACGTTTCGTGGCATGAGTGCAGTGAGCTTCAACATGATGTTGGATTAGCATATCTGAGACATGTATTGAATCAATCAAGTTTGTTTCGTACTTTTGTCCACAAAGCGAAAGCAATAGAATTTCTCTACTCAATGACGTAAATTCGGACACATGTGTGAATTCGAATGCGGGTCTGGATTTTTACAGAAACGCAGGGCTGATCGATCACTGATCTGGAGAGTGAGTCTGGAAAAATCAGAAATCACGTCATTTAGTGTATAAATTCTATTGATGCCATTTTTTGTGTAAAAATACAGAACAAAATTAATTGATTAGACGTGTCCCTTCACTTATGCCACGAAATGTTATTACTAATTGAAGGATGCCTTTCAGGAAATGATTTTCTTTAGATTATTAATTAAATGATAGGCTCGACTTCAATAGCATTTTCCTGAATAAGTCGCTTTTGAAGTAAGTATTATTTATCATTTTTTAAAGCTTTTATTTCATGTTTTTTAGTGATACTGATATTTCTTATATAATGGGTAACACTAAAAATATTTTTCAGAAAACTACGTCAAAATAGATTCAGCCAAACGCGGGATAATCGCGGGCAATACATACAACACGTGTTTATGTGCGAATCTCCATTTTATGGTTGGTTAATATACCTAAAACCTTCTGAGTCTGACAAATACTATGCTGAAAACCCCATCAAAATCGGTTCAGCTAAACGCGGGATAATGGCGCACAATCAATCATACGGGTTAAACTGAGAACCTTATTTTTTGAATTCGGTTAAAATGTCTGATTGTAAACTGAAATGGCATAAATTTTATTCCAAACCCTAACTATTTCTATTACTTTTATTACTTACAGAATTCACAACTGAGTTTGGCAGGAAAAATTTTATACTAGTTCTAGTATGTGCAACCGAAATTCGACTATTACCTAATTGTAATGATAAATTTGTAATTTAAATAATAATTTGAAAATACCTAGTAACTAAATAGGCCAAAAAAAAAGAAATCGATTAAACCTTTTAATAGTAAAGTTTTTATTTGTAATAAATTGTAAATTAAATTAAACGAATCTTGTTTTATAATCTTTTTATCGACTTCACAGCAGCTTATACAACCAAAATGCAAGTAAAAGAGTTTTCTGTTTAAAATACACGAAATATGTAGAATCTTTTTAAAATTTCCATTTAAAATGTCACGTTTTTATAAAAAATCTGCATCCACAGTTTTATTTTTCATTATTATGTTAGTAAGTAAAATAATATTTTATTTTGAATTAATTTACACATATAGTACACTGCCAGAATATAAACACAAGTGCACAAGAGGCCAAATCTTGCATATTGCTCTTTATCTCCAATCCATCCTGCACGAAGCATCCCAGGAGTTGTTACGCTTTTAATTGTATCTTTTAGTGCACGTATATTTATTTGCGGATGGTGTACAAACGTTTTGCTTATGGGTAATAAGTGGGCAAATTGATATATTCCTAATTCTTCTTAAAAATTGGTTTCATTCACATTTTCAGTATTTATTTTCCTAAATTCTTCGAAGAAATGTACGTCGGTGCCAACTGAGAAAATAAGAGTTAAATAAATTCCGATAAGTTTTTCGAACTAACGAATTTTTAGATTTTATCATATGGAAATACAGTAAACTAAGTTTGTTTTTGGATTTGTTTAATGTATTAGTTTAAAATATATGCTTAAGTCTACTGAATCTAAGAAACAAACATGTCCGCGCTATGTTGACCTGGGTTGCATCAAGATAATGACACAGGACTTGCGTGGCAAGGGGTGAGAAAGTGAAGGCCTCTAGGACAGGTAGAAAAGAAGTAATAAGGCAAAAGGAGTAGAAACAGGAAAGGGTGCCAGCAGTGAGAAGAGAGAAAAGAGCAACTCAAACAGGCAATAGTTCACACAATGCTGACTGGTTTTTAAGAGGGGTGAATATAGCGTGTTGTAAATATTGAAATAAGGTTAGGTAGGGTCGATATTCCGTGTTTGTAATTTTCCTAAATTTATTATAATCTTAATGTTTTGCAATATAATATCCATTTACAAAGATAGTTATTTCTAGCGCTTGGTTAGGTTGGGATAGATGTGATCAGAAAATTTCTAAGTCTATTCTTAAGTGCCCCGTTAAATACACTGCAACCGAACTTTTATAAATTATATATTGCATCATATTTATTATACTACAGTTTTATGTTTATGGTCCATTATCGTCACCTAAAAAGCAATATTCTAACCCAGTAATGAAGCTTCAGACGTCACATAAATAATTTGATTCAAAACTTAATTTTCCAGAATTCGATAGTAGCTGATTCAAATTTAAGCGAGGAATCCAGTTACGTGGTCGCTTCTAGCGAGAGAAATGCTACGGATAACAAATTTGAAACTCTAAAAGGAAAAATAGAAAATGTCCGTTCGTCCGATATAACTGATGAAAAATCTATAGACTATTATATCAATGATAAAAGCTTGAAGATTGGTAGGGGCTCTAGCTCAAATTATTGGGAAAAATGTCACAAGAAAATCGATAAATATTGTTATAAACAGTGCAACAAAGCGCTGAAATATGTCTGTATGGAGGATAGGTATAGATCGTCAGTATACTCCTTCATAAAATCTGAATGTAAAAAGGAATGTAAAACAAAATATAGAGTTATAACTTCTAATAATTCTTCTCAGAATTAAAAATGTATAAATAATTAGGGGATAAAGATCGGACAGAAATTTGTATAATTGAAATTGAAGAGTGAATATTCATTAAAAAATATATGTATATTGTTAATGCTTAAAAAGTGTATATATTCTATGTTAATTAGAATTATTTACATATTTCATGGTTATATTTTAATAAAAGGCGTTGAAGTATGAAATTGCCTAATTGTACTGAAAGTCAAAATTGTTTACTTTTTAATTTTTAACAAATTTATTTAATTTATATAATCATAAAATATTACCATTTGATCGTGGTAAGCTTACTAAGAGACGAAGTGATATCATAGCACCACAATATCCTGCTAAAACAGCCTTCGCTAGTCGCCAATACATATCTCAAGCACCTCATGTTTATAATAAAATAAATTGCAAACTAAAGATCTATAGCATGCAACTATTTGAGTGTAAGGGTTATCTTAAAAGATGGCTTACAACCATCAGTTTTGAGGAAACGGAAGACTTGTTGGTTAGGCTAGTGTAATTAAAAAACATGTGTGTATGTATGGGCGAATGTATATGTCTATGTATGTATGTATGGGCATATGTATATGTCTATGTATGTGTATGTGTATATATATGTATATATTTATACGTATGGATGTGTGTAAGATTATATAAATATATATATATCGGTGTAGTTTGTATTAAATCTAAAGTACCAAGATACCCATATAATTGTTAAGTTAGGGTCAATGGGACTTTTGTATGTATTTATGGATAAATACTTCAGTGAATATATACAGACACGCTCACACGCGCACGCACACGCACAGGCACAGGCACAGGCACAGGCACAGACACACGCACGCGCGCACACGCATACACACACGCACGCACACACGCACTCACGCACGCACGCATACACAAGCACGCATGCACACAAATTGCTTTAAAAACCTGTTTGATTATAAGGAAGAGCAGGGCTTCTCAACACAGGTATCTTTGGATTACTTTCGAGAGAAGCCCGGGCAACTGTATTGTTAAGATTTTAAAGTAATAAAGCTATTTTTTTTTTTAAATATGTACCATTATTTTCTGTACATTGCTGCTATCTAATAGAAACCATGTGAAAAAAGTTACTTTCGGAAACCCCAAACCATGAAGATTTTATGTCAATTCAAGGAACCTATTACAATAAAACGGCAATTTCATACTTTAAACCCTAATATTAACATACTTTATAGTTAGGTTAGATTTTGAGATATCTTAATTGCTCACCATTATATTATAGCTGAGAGAAGTAATTACTTGAGAATGTCATAACTTAAGCAGGGGTTTGGTTAAGAATATTTGCTAAGTTATTATTTTCTCAAGTAATTACTTCTCACGACTCGATTAAAGATATAAGTTTCAGAGGCAGATAACGCAAAAGTGTGGTACTACAATTAGCAGCAGTTTTGAATTTTTTTGTGGGGGACGTAATATTAGTGGTTTGTAACAATAATTATATGTTGCAATTGCTATTATAACGATAACGTTAGTTAGTTGTAAAATGCCGACGCGTGTCCTTATTGACATTGGATTCAATCAAATTACACTCATCGTTCAATACTGTTTCAAACTGTGAGTGCATTTTGATTGAATCTGACGTCAGAAAATTGAAGACATTATAGGTCTGCTGCTATCAAAGGTGTTTGGATCTTAATTATATAATACAACTGTTGTAGCTAAGTCACGCATGTTGCAGTATAGAGTAGGGATCGTCTTAGTATTACACAATCCTGCTTTTGCATATTTAACTATGTAAAAATAAAATAAAATACCTATGTAAGTATGTTTAACAATATTTGACCATTCGCTTGGCGTAAATCTATCAACTAAAACCTCTATTACATTTGATTGAACCTGTAGTTTGTGACAGTGGTGAACTTGACGAGTTTGAGGTCATCGCAAATTTTTTTAGCAACCTAGCACAGCTGATTGAGTATTAGTGTTTCACTAGTTACTAAATATTTGAATGTTTTCCTGGATCTCATAGTTTTTGACCCTGCCGGGAATCGAAAACAGGGACTTCAAAGATGGCAACACCTTGAAACCGGCGTGCGAATCACTATGCTATTAAGTCGTCAGTAAATGTATAATTGGTCTAAGTACATTACTACTAGAAAACTTAGGACCCAAGAAAGGAGTTTCTTAACCGGAGCCAGTCTACTGTACGTAACTCTGCGCCCCACACATACTGCACCACACTAAAGTTCTGCATTTCCATGGCTGATCCGAAGCTGTCGTCAGATCTTAGCCCAAATCTATGAAAACAGCCGATGCCCGATACAGCGACTTGATCACTTCCTACTTAACGGCTCTCGATCTTCCTTAATATAAGTGCTCCCACTTGTCGGGCATTACAAATTTTTGGTCACCCATCCTATGACCGGCCATTACCAAAGTTGTTTAACAAACGTATCACGTGCCGAGCACGTTAGCCAATACCCCATAGAACTCCAATGCAAAACCGAATGTACTGCACCGTCTTTAAAAAATAAAAATATTATTTAAAATAAATTGTAAAATAAATAATTCTCATCGTATTTTATAACTTTTTTATCGACTGCACGCCATTTTAATTGGAAAAATGCAAGTAAAATGTTATTTTATTCAAGACACGTAGTTTAAGTACACAGTATATATTATTTTATTTCATTTAAATGTCACGATTTCATAAAAAATCAGCTTCAATAGTTTTATTTTTTATTATTATGTTAGTAAGTAAAATATATTTTTTCTTAAATTCAGCTTAGGTCTCGGTAAAAAAAAGAGATAATAATCAACGTGTTAGTTTTTCCCAATTATGTTATTTTAAATAATGAACATGTGAAGTAAATACTTTAGACCCCGTTTAGGAAATTTGATGACCATTGATAACTATAATACTAATATATTATGTATGCTATATTATATTTGCATCTTTTATATACATATATCTATTCTCAATTACTCCTATAATCTTGCAAATATTACTTTAACTCCAATATGTCCTTCACGGATCATCCTCAAGCACTGTTACACTTTGTAAGTCATCACCGCTAGTGCACGTGTTTTTATTTGCGGGTGGTGCACATGCTTCTATTTAGCTGGTACTAACCGGTAAAGAAAATTGCTAAATAAACAAAGTAAACAGTTTACAATTACAAATTAATTATTGATTAAAATTAAAATTATTATTCAGATTGGCATTAAATAATTTAATATTGTTTTATTAATTGCATTTGTATAATATTATTTATTATTCAGATCGGCACGTTAATATTTTTATCTATCATTGTCAAATAATAGATACAATTTATTTGCTTCTTTATGTTTAATTTATTAGTACGTCCACATTTCATCGTTATCTGCTTTGTGCATTGTAGAAATAAATTGAATTTCATATATCATATTTAATTCTGCTTGAAGTTGGTTTGTATTTTATTTTTTCTTATTTTACTGAAGTTTTCGTCGGAGTGTACATAACTGGTTTCTGAGCAAAGAAGGACCATTTTTTGTAATTGTTTCACGTTTTTTTTTCTCATAGAATACAGTAAATAGTTTTGGTCAGGGTTAAACTTACCGGGTATCCCTTGCTAGTTTTTGGGCCTTGGGCCTAAATTCTGTGTATGAACCAATGCTCTAGTTTGTTGAGTCGTAATATAATATAATGAGACCCCGTTATTATTGGATTTACGCAACCGCGACGTCCGAGACTTAGCCATAGTCTGATCCTCGGTGCCCAACTAAGTACAACACATTTTGAAAGAGTAATTTTGATGAGTGATTTTACATTCATGAGAAGAAAGACTATAAATATTTAAGGTTTTACAGACTTTTTTTATAAAGAGTCGAACAATGTTACGAAAGTACAAATGTTAAATAATGCTGTCAACTTAATCTACTCTGTACTTCTTAATTAAGACAATATTAAATTCTTATTATATATTGTATAATAATTATATGGTTACAGAAAACTACATCAGACGCGAGTGACATAGACTACAATTTACGCGCAGGAAGACGCACGGAAACAGCTAATGTAGGTATTATAATTATCATTTTATTTTATAAATCTATAGCTTTTACTACATATTTATGTTAATGGTCCATTGTATTTAACAAAAACTCGATATTAATGAAATACAGTATCGAAGTTTAGGACTAAGTTGCTTATTAAATTTGATTTAAAACTGTTTTTTCAGAATTCGGTAGCTACGGTAGCAGCTGATTCAGAGTTAAGTGAGGAGTCCAGTTACGTGGTCACTTCCAGCGAGAAAAATGTTAAAGAAAACAAATTCGATACTCTTAAAGGAAAAATACACAATTACCGTTCGTCCGATGTGTCCGATGAAAAAAATATAGAAGATTATATGAATGGCAATAAAGAGAAGGGAATTGTTAGGGGATCTAGAAAAGACTGGTGGGAAAAATGTCACAAGAAAATCGATAAATATTGTTACAAGCACTGTAACAAAGCGTTAAAATATGTTTGTAAGAAACACGGGTGTAGAAAGTCAGCATATTCCTTCATAAAATCTGAATGTAAAAAAGGATGCAGAACTAAATATAGAGTTATCGTAATTTTTCCTATGAGTAAAAAATTAAATGGGACAAAAAATTAGGGGATATCAATCAAAAAGTTTGTAGTACTCTCAATTTATTTAAACATAAAATTAAAAATCAAAAGAGTTTTTTTTTTCCAAAAAGGATGTAAATTTAAATAACCTTCAAAGCATTAAAGCCACGTGATGGGATTGAAATGAGAACGTTTTCTTTGTCGGGTCTAGACCTTGTATAAATTAAATTATTAAAGGTTTATATCTCATTAACTCATTTAAACTATTTGGTTTATATATTTGCATATTTTTGTTTATTTCAACTCAACACAAAGATGGCGTTGGCAAAAAGTTGTCCATATCCTACTTTTTAACAAAAATACCCAATTAAACGTGTTGTGTGAAATCTTTAATTGTTTAAATGTAAAATCAGAATATAACAAAATAATAATTCGAAGTTATTAACTTATATCATAGTTTTATTTCTTTAAGCTTTTTATATTTCTTAATTAGGAGGAAAGAACACAAAACGCATGTAGTGGTGAAATTCACTTGGAATGATGCCTGGTTTACATTTTTATAGGAGAGCACAGCTTATCTAATAATAAGGTCTACAGTAATATTTACACGACTTCCTAATTGATTGTATAAAGCTACTTTTACATGGGTGTTCAGAGCATGCATCCTTATACGCATTTTTACAAGCTTTCCTGCAGAATCTCTTCACTTTTCTATGACAGCTGGATCTTAATAATCCTAATTTATTACCGCCATCTTTATTTTTGTCAGCACTCTCTATGTAGTCATCTAAAGTATGTTCTTCTGATACACTATAAGATTTGGACAGTATTCTTAGGTTTCCGTCATCTTTCTCTATATAGTCATTTAAAGCGTGTTCTTCTGATACACTAGAAGACTTGTACTGTTTATTTTCAACAGGACCGCTATCATCTTTATCATTAGATTCTAATATGCTAGTATTTGATACAGCTCTCTGTAAATAAATATTTACTAATCATATATATATACAGTATAAAACATAGTAGCTTCCCGCTTTCTGTATGCTGAGATCTTTGAAACTACATAAAAGATTTTAATGCAGGTCATCGATATACAGAGTGATTCAAGAGGAAAGTTTATATTAGGGTGGGGAAAAGTTTTTTCGCATATAATATGCATAAACTTGTAATAAACCTTACTGCTTATATCATTTGTATCTGGCTGGTTTCGGTATCATTAAAAAGTTCTAATTTTGAAGAAGATAACTTCCAATTCAGATTAGGGAAATGCATAATTTTGGTTTAAGCCTTTTCAATCCGAAAAGTTTAATGTCAAAAAGGCACTTCGCTCCGGTAGCTCTGTTACGGATAAAATGGATGCCATTTTTGTTAAGGTGGAGCGAGATTAGCATATCAGTATAAATGACGCAGCTGAAGAACTGGGAATAAACTGTAAAACAGTTTTGGCACATTTGAAAAATGGTGGGTACCCAAAAAAGTCGGATATTTGGGTACCTCACAAGCTCACTGAAAAAAACTTAACTAACCGTGCTCATTTGTTATTCTTTTTTACGGCGTAATGAAACCAAACCATTTTTGAAGAAGCTGATAACTGGTGAAAAATACTGGATCACGTACGATAAGAAAGTGCGAAAATGGTCGCAGTGAAAGGTCGGTAAGCTCCACAGACTGTGGCGAAACCCGGGTTAACTCGCAACAAGGTGATGCTGTGTGTATGATGGGATTGAAAGAGCATTATTGATTATGAGCTGGTATCACGTGGCAGGATCATCGATTCTGAACTCTACTGCGGACAATTGTTGAGATTATAGCACGAAGTTGAGAGAAAGCGGTCAGAGATAATAGATTTTCATCAAGATAACGCTTGATGTTACACATCATTTGCCATTCAGCAAAAAGTTTAGTTGGGAGGTGTTAATGTATCCGCTGTATAGTCCTGACCTTGTACCTGCAGATTTACACCTTTTTCAGACTCTTCAAAATTCTGTAGGCAGGTTAACATCACGCGAGGACTGTCAAAACCACTTGTCGCAGTTTTTTTATCAGTAGCCCCAAAATTTCTATAGCAATGGGATCATATCCCTACATACAAGAAGGCAAAAAATTATCGAATAAAATGGTACCTACATACTTTAGTTAAATGTAAATAAACTTTATTGAAAAATATTTTGAATTTTCATTTAAAATGCGAAGCAACTTTCCCCAACCAATGTATAATACAGGACATTTTCTTTAGTTTTATTCAGCCCGTCAGAAAGTCCCTGTTTTTTAATACTATCAAAATAACACTGATTTCTATGAATCTATGAGACACTCACAATCCACCCAGTCAACATAATAATTCCGATAATCAGAATGGCAGCCATGTTTTTTTGATATTTTGTATATGAATAAAATATATACTGTTTTACCATAAAAACCAACGCACAAATATATTGGTAATATGATTTTATATGCACTGCCATCAATGTATTTATAGCTTTACTGATGGTAAAACATTTTTTTATCAAATATAGAATTTCCGTATTTTTAGTACATCAACCGCATTTTAGTACATCTAAAAAAATATGGACGCTATATTCTCTATTACAATGGTTATTCTCATTGTATTGCCTGTAAGTATAAAATCAATATGTACTCTACTCTATAGACTTCCAGGTGTTAAAAAAAGCTGCTATTTTTTTCTGTTGTAAAAAGTTCTGGACCTATTTTTTTACTATAATCCAAGTCGTCGACGAGCCTAGTGTGCTTTGGTGCTAATGGGAACATCGTGATAACAAAATTTTACCCATCCATCTCATGCGCAATCTTTGCCAAAGTTGGTTAGCTTCCAAAATAATAGACCTCTTATGTTCTGACCATGGCGTTACCGAGCTATTCCTCCTTGCAATGATTTTTTGCAGATAAGCTCTGTGTGAAATAAAAAAAAAACATGGGTATAATTATATTACATATAGGAATGCCTTTCAGTTTGAAATTTGAAAGATATTCACGAACTTTACGCTACACTTGATCACGCTACGCTACATTTGATACGTAATAGCGATTGTTTATGAAAGATATTGAATGAACGATAGCAATAAAGCCTTCAAAGCTATCGAGGATTGTCAAACAAAAGAAATGGACGCTAAGGCAATTTTTCGAAAAAAAAAAATCATTTATTCCAAAAGCGTTACACAATTCCATGAATCGTTGTCACAATTGCAATACTTTTGAAAAGGATTGCGTTATATTTTAAAATTAGTCAAACAGCACACAGATCTTGCCCAGTTCCAAATAGGTTTTGAGTAGTTTGAGTTCTTATTAAGTAAATACTTAAGTACTCTCGTATGAATTAATGGTGTCATACCTGAAGACATAAATCCTAAGATGTCATATTATTTCCAACTAGGTATACAAGTCGTCCAATACGAAAAACAATTAAATTTATGCCTATTGTGATCGCAACTCTAAATAATACTCACTTTTATTTTTAATAGCATGTTTTGAAACATTTAAAGTACTAATAATCAATTTTTTTATAACGATAATAGACTTGAGAATCTTGTAGCGCTAATTACCGACATTAGCGCTACCAGCTTTTCGAGTCAATTACTGTTAGAGAACATTTTTATTTTAAGTTCTTTAAATGTTTAGAATTTATTTATTTACGCTGTAGTGTCCACAAAAAGCTTGTTTTAAAAAAGAGCTTTCTTTTTTTTAATCTACTAAAATCGCAAATCGAAATATTGACAGCGCTGTCACTGTAAAAATTCTTATTTCTTTGTAATTCTGAAATGCAATAAAATAAATTTAAAAAAGATTCAACCAAGTAAAACCTATTTGGACCGCTTTTTGTGATATTTGTGTTTTTGCATTTGTCTTCGTCGGGAATAGGGTAATAAGTGTTAAAATATATTTCATCAATAATGATTATTACAAAAGACTTAGTGATAACAGTGATTTCTCACAATAAAACGCAGCTGACAGTTCACGTAATGTTGTCTATGTAATAAACCATAGTTACTTTAAATGATTGCTAAATCCTCAATTTGCTCATTCATTGTCCCTTAGGAGGAACCAAGAAGTTTGTATATTTTTACATTCAAATTTCTTGGACGGAACAAAGTTCGCCGGCTCATTATTAAAAATAATATTAAACTATGATTCACATTTAAATACGAAAAATTTGCTTCGGAAACATAGATAATGTATAATTTATGAAATTCATTTTCAGAGTGAAAATTTGATTACTATTGCATCTAAAGTTGAATCAGATATTCGGGTAAGATCAAATAAAAATGATGATACAGAAATAGAATCATATGACTTAATTGATTTAGAAGAACTAGAAGATTTTGAAGACAAGACACAAAAGCGGAAGAAGCAAAATCAGGAAGAAGAAACAGACGAAGATGATGATTCGGAATACGATCAAGAATTCCACTTTGGAGCAAATATACAAGGGTCGATTCTTAGGAGCATGTCAAGTGCTTGCAAGAAAAAAATGCGCAGTTTTTGTTATAAAACCTGCAGAAAGACGTATAAAAAAATATGTCAAAAATATAATTGTAGAACGGGGATTAAAATAGATTTCAAAAAAGCATGCAAAAGTCATTGTGACAGGAAAGGATAATTATTTTGGACTTATTTAGAATAAATCACCAGAAGAATCACCGAGTAACATAGGCTATTACTAAACATGCTATTTTAAATTTCATGGTAAATAACATTAGAATTATTATTAAAATAAGGGATTGCTGCCTTGTACCTTTTATTTATTGAGTTTCTGATATTTCAAACAAATAATCAACAATGATTCTAATATGACTAAATAAATTTTTGTCCCAAAGTTAAAACGAAAACACAGATAACAGACACATGTTAAATTATCACTGTATAGTTTATTTAATTATACAAAAATTGTCCTCAATTAAAAATGTTAAATAGTTCAAGATAATTTAAGTTTTTTTAATCATTCGCTACATTTGTTTGTTACACAGTTATGTAATTAAAGGCTCTATTACTTTTTAAGGTAAAGGTTTTATTTGATCGAACCTCTATGTCGTGACAGCGCTGTGCTATTAATAATTAATTAGTTGTTAATAATTACGATAACAACTATTAACGCGAAGAAGCACAGTAATGGCGGGCTAAACCGCGTGGCACAACTAGTTTAAGTTCAACAAAGTAAAAAAAAACACGACTGCCAAATTTGAACTAAAAATAAAATAATCAATTTGTACTATGGCTTGGCTAAACCAAATTCTCATTGCGCCCGGGCAACCCTTTAGATTGCAAATGTTCCACAGTACGTTCCTTCGACTTTTTTTTTTCTCGAGATTTTTTTCTCGTCAAATCGTATTAAATTTATTTTAGTTTAAGTTCTCGAAGTCGTGTTTTTAATTTTTACATTATTTATTTTCATTTTAATTCTTTTAGTGACCAGTTAATATTTTAAATTTTTTGAAATATACTTGAACTTGATATAATTAAATAGTTGGATATTATTGTAATCCTGACCATATAGGTTTGTAGGAATCTACAATGTAAAAATATGACTAGAATGTGATATTTAAAAAATTGTTACTTACAAAATAAACACTGTAATGTCATGGGCTCTGTAGTATTTCTTATAAAATAAACCTTTATTTTATACAAATATTAAAAAATATATATAAATATAAATGGTTAGTGTTATTAGGATGATGTATGTTTCTATTATTATCTTATACATTCATATCCGTTGAATCTTTTAAAAGTTAACCCTAAACACAATACACTCCTTTTTTTATGCAGTCGTGAAAAAAAAATCGTTTTAATCAATAATAATTAATCACTATGACCATCATAGTGATTAATTGATTATATTTTATTGACAATAAAATATACACCTCAAGTAAATAAAACACCATTTGTAGTTCTACTAGCTACTGTTTAATATGGCTATCATACCATTTATTACAATGGCTATGCTTATTGCTTTTCGTGTAAGTAAATTATCACCATTATAATCAGTCTCTAGCATTCCCTCTTCAACTGCTGAGGCATATTACTTCGCTTTACTTATAATGAAATCATCATCATCATCCGCAAATGTAGCCAGGATCAATGCCTTAAAATGCCTTACGAAGTGAGGAGTTCAAAATAATAAGCTTATCCGAATACCAAATTTATAGAGTTGTTTCCTCCTCAATTGGCAGATCAAGCGCAATAAGATCAGGGTGGGTAGCGGACACTCCTGCATTGTTCGGTCTGGACTGTCTGGGAGGAAGACTCTGGTATATTAGAGCCATTTTCGACCATATGAGAAGGGCCCGACACAAGGGTATGGGTGTCGTAATCCTCATCCAGCGTGGTATAGATAAGTTTGAGTTGTGAATGAGTTGAAATGATATTGTTGTGGCGAAAGTGTCTAAAGTTAGGAATATGGGGAAGGAAAATCCTCGTGGTAAAGATATTCAAAACACTATAGTATAGCCAGAGATCAGAAGCTAAATAAGTTAGCAAATGTTTCGTAATAACCTAAAAAGTCACTGCTCTATATTCGAAAGATCGTGGGTCCGAACCCCATCTCAAAGTGCCGGGATCAACGTGGATTTTCTTAGCATTTTTCATTAAGAATATTTTCTAGTTTATTGGTAAACTTTATTGGTATTGAAAATGACTGCTGAGCGCTATAGTCTGGTCGCCGAGTCGAGAGAATTTCGTACAATGACCCTGCATTACATATCACTTTCACTTGTGCGCAAAAAATTCTATCACGCTCACAAAGATGTATCTAACTAATTTTGTCATATTGGGTCAACCAAAAATAGGTATAATATCTATTAGTAAGCATAAAGGTCAACATACGGAATTCTCATTGTTTGCTGACCAGACCTTATATGAAAGCAGTGTGCAAATCACATGTGTCGTCAATTAACACACAAAAAATAATTACATTCATTTCCAGAGAGAGAATTTTAATATTGCCTTATCTACAGCGGCATTAGATGTTGAATTCCATGCAAATTCAAATATATATGATGACACAGAAATCGAATCTTATGACCTAATTGATTTATCAAATGAATAGCAAACAGAGGAAGAAGAGAAAGCACAAGGATTTAAGAAGCAAAAGCAGGAAGAAAAAAAGAATAAGGAGGATGCGTATAACAAGGATCAAAATTACGGCTACCAGTATGAAGATTTACAAGGAACGCCTCTGAGAACCAATGCGAGTATATGTAAGCTTAAAATGCGTAAATTTTGTAATAAAACCTGCAGGAAGATATATAAAAAAATATGTAATCAATATGGTTGTCAAAAGGACCAAAGAAAAAAATTTAAGAATTCATGTAAAAAGCGTTGCTCCACTAAATAGGTTTGAATAGAATTCTTTTTAGGTGTTACCATGCAGATGTCAATTGATATATCTGTAGACTATTATATTTTGAAAGTTTCACATCAAGTTATTTTCATATTACGTGCAAGATTATGCTGATCTAGCCGACTGCCAATAAATACATTTTCACAGGAGGTTCAAAATTCTATGTGCCACAGGGGAGCATATTAGGACCTATATTATTTCTGTTATATGTTTTAACTAACAACTATAATATAATACTAGTTACCAATAGTATTATATTATGGTTGTTAATTATTATGTCGTAAACGCGTTCCTAAAATTTTATAAATTCAGTTTATTAACTGAATAGAGTAATTTCAATATCTTATATATAATGTTAGCAAATACTTTAACTTTGTAACCACTACCAATACGATAATATGCAGAGAAATATCATTTAAAATAGCAAATAATACCCAGGAACTGGGCTACAGTTATTATTCTGCTGATTAGATCACTTTAGTTAGTTATATTGTTTTAAATATAACTCTTATATCGTAATCGAATTATAAGATTATCATATTTCATATTTTTAAATAAAACAATGAAATCTTTAAAGTGTATACCTCTTTATTTTAAATTTATAATACATCGTTAAAATACATTTTTTGTATATTAAATTGTGATAATAACTTGTTAATGTTTGTTTACACAACAACTTTTGTAAAAAGTTAATAAATATAAGCACTTATACTATTCAACCTAACATTCTACGATGGCTCAGAAATAGTATCTGTTCATACCAAAAATAAATCTTAATTACTACCATACATAATAAATTGTAAATTGGTAATACTCGTAGGACGGAATGTCAAAATGTTTACTATTTTCATTTCATTATATAATCTCATTCATAAGGTATTGGAAAATGATATAATAATAATATTGAAAATTAAGATTAAATAACTTGTGACAGTGTAAGACTATCATTACTTTATATTATACATTCACAACCCAACGTAACATATTATAAACAAACTTCACAACATATTTAATTATAAGTAAATATTTTATCATATAAAAAGGCACATTAGTTAAAATATCATTTTCATCAAATTTTTAACAGGAAATACAAACTAATAAACTAATAATTCATCAAATAGTAAGTATGCGTTTGTGGAAAATATTTGCACCTCAGTATTTAACAATAATTTTAATATAACATCTCGTAATCTAAGTACAATTTAAAAAATACAATATTGATATTGAACGTTATTAAAATAGATTTTTACAGTTTACCTCCACTGGGGCTTCTAGAACTACTCTTTATTGAGGTCACGGAAATATTTCCAGAACTACTGCTCAAACTTGGAGGTGGTGATCTAGGTAACGAGAATGTTTTGTCTGTTAAATTTTCCTGACTAGCCGATTTCTGGCTCATAAAAACCGGTATCTTCGACGATACTCCAACTGGTTTCTGTTTTTCCAACGCTTTTATCGGAATGTTGCTAGGTTTCGCTGAAATTGCCGGTTTTTGTCCAGGTGTCCCATCATTTGCAGCCCGAAGTTGTTGATCTAACTGTGACAATCTTCTGTTTTCTAAATCTGTGCTTGTCACTATTGTACCCTTCGGAGATTCGTATGTGGCTGTTCGGAATTTTATGTGGCTGTTTCTTGGCAAATCGAAGTCTGAATGCCTTTTCTTTGGTTCATTTTGATTCGTTTTCTTCACCTCGGCTTGCTGTCTGGCCGAGTGTCGGCGTTCGTTCGAAATAAAATCATTTAGCATGTCAACATCCAACTCACAAGATAATGGTGGCTCCTCGTGCGGAACTATTCTCTGCCTACTATGGATTTTGTCTTGCGATTCTTTTTCTTTAATTTGCTTTTCAGTGCGCGGTGTCACAACTTGGATCTCTGTTATATGACTTTTTTGCTTCTCAGGATCATCAACATCTTCTATTTGACATTGTTGATTTGATGTTATCGAAGGATTAATAGAATATCTAGTTTTTGTAACTTCCATAGAATTCGGAGATTGTACGTCTTCAAAGTCTTGCACTACTCTAATTCCCAACTTAGTTAGTTCTTCTGATGATTTCTGTGACATAAAATCGGGATCACTCCTTAATTTGTCCATTAATTCTCTCGCTTTTGTTTCATTCATATCAGTTGTACTAAGTATAATTGTCTCAGTTCTTGTATAAGAAGGTTCATCTGAAGTAAAATGCATATTAGGGTTTTGTCTCTTGATTTCATCTATAATCTTTTTGTCAATATCCTTATCATTTCCATCTTCTAAATTAAGTTGGTCAATATCTCCGGGTCTTTTCATAACACCAAAGCTTACTTGTTCAACCTGTAATGGGGCCTCTGTTTTAGTTGTTATATATTTAGTAGAAACCTTTTCAATATTTTGAGTAATAACTTTATTGCCAAATTCATCTTCAGCCACGTTCACTGTGACTGTTTTTTGTATGGGTTCTTGTGTCATAGTTATAGACATATTAGTAGGTTCCATATACAAAGTTCTATTTTCTTTATGATGTTTAGTTTTAATACCTTCTATTACATCCGGAACAATTTTCATCGAAGGTTCATTAATTTCAATAGATTTTGTGTAAGATTTACTAGTATGCAAGTCTATAGGTTGACTTTTTTCACTTGTAGTTATCGTAACGACGTTATTGCTATGGACATCTTTAGGTTCTGACCATTCTGTTGAAGTAGAACTAAATGTTTCAAAAGTTGGTTTCGTATATTTTAACGTATTATTATTCGAACCTACATTGACGTTACTTATGAAGTCATCATAGTCTCTTTCATTTGGTTCAGAAGTTTTAAGGTCAAAGTTCACAATATCTGGTTGATGCATGGCAGATTTAAAGGCATCAGTCATTTGGGTTGTATTCTCCGTACTAGTGGTAGGTTCACTCTTTTGTGTACTTTGGTCAATGTGTAAATTTAATATCGGATTTTTGGCTAAAAGCTTTTTCATCATATCGGATTTGGGCCGTTCTAAGCTGTTTACATAAGTATTTCTAGATACTTTTAAATCATCTGGAATATTCGTGTCATATGCCATTGTTAATTTATCTTCAAACTTCATGGGTGTAGTTTCTTCTATTTTGTTGGAAGTAGGTTGAATTTCATGTGTGCTATCTAGAGAACTCATATTACTACCATCGGATGTCGATTTTGCAAACTCAGAGACAAGTTTCAGATGGACTTTCATATTTTCATCCATTATTCTTCTGGCTAAGTGATCTGAAGTCTCATGAGCTTCAGTTTCTTTATATAACTCAAACTCTCTGCCTTGTGCTTTCTTACTAGCTATTTGTTGTTCATCTATTTTATCAGAATCAACGGAGCTACTTGAGCCTTTAACAATAGCGTCTTCTAAGTTACCAAATTCAGAAGCTTTCTTCAAGCGATTTCTTTGGAACGTACTTAAACCTTCGATTGCTGAAGTTTTACCAATGTTCAAACTTAATCTTGGTTCTTTGTGCTTTATCACTACGCCCTTATCGGAATCGATCATGTCTGGCAAAGAATCTTCATTAGTGGAATCAAAAAATGTAGTTTCAACAACAGACATGGCTTTTCTTTTCTTCGGAGAAAGAGTGCTTTCTTGTATTTCTGCATCATCTGCAGATATATCTAAGCTTTGAGCCCTTTCTAATGTACCAGTGGATGGTTTATTAGTTTTCGTTCTCAATTCAAACCTTGAGAGATCGCCAAGAGATGCTGCTTTGCGTTCATTTTCATCTAGAATAGATGTGTCATCTGATACTGAGTTAACTGTATCATTTATTGGTGAACTGTGAATCGTTATATCACTATTATTTAACTCAATAGTTGTGGATCCTTTATCACTGTTATTTAGAGATACAACTGAATGAACGTCATGAGACGACGAAAGATTAGACTTGGAATCTTCAAAGTAATTATTAAGAGAGTCACTTTCCCGCTTAAATGGTTTAGAAACAATATCATCAATGTCGTCTTGACTAAAACTGAGAGTTTCATCCATTCGTGATTTGGTTTTGCTTACTTTTGGTGTTGAAGTATTGTAAGATATGGTTGATTGATTAGGGCTTGTAAAAGATGTATCATGAAGTAAGCTGGAATGTTGTTTTTCACTTTTAAGGAAATCGTTCATATTTCTCATTTGTTCTATAATACTATCGTCTGTTTTGTTTTTCTCAACATCTGGAGGTGACGGTGCTTTACCTTTAGCTTTTTTAGGTGGTTTTGGGGCTTCATCCTTTTTATGTTCCACTAATTTTGGTTGGTCGCTTATCAGTTCCGCCGAACTTTTTCTATTAGTCCTAGCGGCTTTTGCTGCTTCAAACATATGTTGAGGTAACTCTTGAGGTATGCCGTTCTCATCTCTTTTAATACCACTAGAGTTTAAATCATTTCTGATAAAAGAAGCTGAAGTGTCCGATGTTTTAGAAACATCTTGTTGGCTGGTGTTGATGTCAGGTTCAGCTGGCTTAACTCGAGCATTAGGAATAGGAGGTGCCATTTTCTCTCTTCTCTTAGCAACAACGGGTTTCTTAGGTTCTGTTTCATTTTCATGTGTAATTTGAGTTGTCGGAGCTGGTCTCGCTGGTTCAGGCTTATCTATTTCATCTACAGATTTGTTTTCAACTACTACAACGCCATTTTCAACGCTCTTTTGCTTCAGTACTCCATCATCTGGGACATTCGGTGGCAACACTCGTATTCCAAATTTCATGCCTCTCTTTGGATCGTAATCTTTTTTCTGAACTTCAGCGTGTTCTATTTGGGTCACACCATTTTCTGATTTTGCCATCTGAACATCGTTTCCTGTAGAATGGCGAGTTTTGTTTCTTTCTGGTTTATTTAAAACAGCAGGAACTTCTGAATGTCTGGTCTTATTTGCAAGTTTACTGTTCTTTTCGTTTTCTCGCTCTAGCGTAGTGTTTAGTACGTCCTTCTTTTCCTTCTTAGCCCTTTCTAAAGTCGTATTAGTGATTATTTTGTCAGTGATGATTTTCTTAATACCTCCTTTACATTTCGTCTCCAAAGTCGAATTATTTGAGTGTGATATGTTTGGCGATCGCGGTGGATGTAGTAGTTTGGCTTCTTTCTCGAGCTGAAATCATAAAAGTATTATTAATAAACTTTTAAGTTACTCGTATTTCGTGGTGTGTGTATAATCAATATTTTTTTCAAATTATTTATATTGCGTAACCAAGTATTAGACATTATATTTTGAGTGTGTTTAGTATTAAGAGCTATATCATAATTACTCAATCAAAGATATTAATTTAATATTACGCTTCATACTGGAAAATTGACATATTTCGTTAAAACGTCCTTTCCGACAATGAGACATATAGACTTAGCCACTCTCTTTAATTGAATTTAAAATGTTGATAGGTCAGATTGAAAATGTTGTTAGTAATATTATAATATTTTGTATATTCGTGTACATATGTGGTATAACATAAGATCTATTACATAAATCTATATGTACACTCCAAGCATTGATGCGTCAAGCAATTATGCGCTTACAACCTTCTTTGTATTTCATTATGAGACAATAGAGACATATACATTCCATGACTATGCGGCATTATTGTATGCCAAACAATTATCGTCTGTCCAATAACATTGTGTCAGAACGAAAACATTGACTGAAGAACGTTTTAATTTTTAACTGGTTAGTGTTCATTTTTCTTTAACTTTGAATGTTTATACTTTTTAAGGTGACGATTTAGCCATTGTAAAATATCCATCGTAATTTGAACCTGATTTTATTAGAAATCTTTCGAGATAACGTCTCTTTCGACACTGGTCGGTCAACGTTACAAACAATAGGAGGATAGAATGTAAAATAAGTTTAAAGGTATATAATATTATATTTAATATCATTTATAAGGCTGGTGGAATGTGTTAGGTAATGCTCATTCACATTGCAGATGAGTTTTTTTTAAATACTTAGAACGTATAGTACCTTTTATATTTAGTACACCACAAGATTCAAAATCATTATTTCACCAATTGATTTTAAGCTTTTATCTATCGAAAGGGTATTTCGAAAGTCGAAGAATAAAAAAATACGTAGAATATAATAGAAATGAGAATAATTATAACTATAGCCAATCAAAATATTATTAATATCTATAGATTTGGTATATTTTTATTTCCAAAATACATAGGTACGAACATATGCATACGTAAAACATTATTGTCACTGAAAATCGTTCACACTCACGAACAACATAAGATTTAAATCAAAAACCAGTCTTACCGTGCTAACATCTCCAGTAGAACCAGCCCTCCTCAATAAGGGATGAATGACTGCCATCCCTGCTCCACTCGCTCGCCCTCCTTCCAATACCTCCAGTTCCACTGGGTAGGGAGAGGCCAGGGAGATTATCCCCACCGCATCTTCCAACGGGATACCGGTGAACTCTATCTTTATACTCTTGATTTTGTCACCTGGAAATTAAATCAGAAAATTAGAGCTTCATATTAATTAAGTTGATTCATACAGGAATTTAAAGATAATTTTAAGCCATTCTACTAATGCTCAGAGTAACAAATATTATAAGAGTTGATGTAGCAAACTTTCTTCGAGGATGCAATTGGATCACATAATTGGATATGGTTTGAGAAAGGCCATAAAATATAGGAATGAAAAAGGTAGAATATGATGGGGTAGGTTAGAAAGGAAAATTCAAGAGTTGAACCTGTTTAAAGTACTCGTATTAAGAAATTGCTCAATTGAAAAAATATACTGTTATGTCTTCTTGTATTTGCATTCGAATTATCGTAGCGCGCAACATTATACCAGTTTTATGACGTTTGGTTCTTAAACATTTATTCAATGTCTTAGTTAAGAGTATTACAGCTTTGTTTCTGAGTGAATTTGCAGTCGTTCTACGGCCTGCACTCCAGTAGTGGGGGATTATGCTAATGATGATTAATACCCTTCGACACAGTCGAAGGTATGAAGTTACCCTTTACTTTTTGAGCGTTCCCGTCGGTTCTACCCTTTTCCACAGAGTGAGGGTGCATTGGAGGTGGGTAAATGGGTATACTCAACTCGTTTTGTATCACCATTATCATCATCAGCCCTTTACGTCCCCACTATAAGGCCTCCGTCCTTCTTTATATCCATAAAGCGTAAGGATTGCCTTAACCATCCGGTTAAGGCAATCCTTTACGCTGGCTAGTAATAACAACTGCAAAAGCAGATCGGACCAACAGCTTAACGTGCCTTCCGAAGCTCAAGATAATATTTTTTTTCTCAGCCATTCCGTGATCGACCCGAATCGAATTTTGCTTAACAACAATGATTGCGGGTCGCGGCGCTTATCCACCATTTATGCTACCGAGCTACGCCTTTTTCATAAGTATAACGTATAACGATACCTGGTTGTAATTTGGCAGCGGCAGCTGGTCCACTCCTCAGAACTGAGTGTACGTGCACTCCCTCCCTGGCGCCGCCTCCACACCGTAAACCCAGACCAGTGAAGTCACGAGCCCACAGCTTCACTCGACGAACCCTTGCACGCTGTCGACAAATAAATACATATTTTTAATTGCGAAAGCATTTTGCAACTCTTTTAATTTTCATTTTTTTTACCTGTAGGTATAATTGCCTTATTGCCTTAATATTGCAGGGAAACTAACAAGTACTTGAGAAGGCGAAATACGTACGTATTCTGTAAAGAATCCATTATGAAATAAAGATAGATAACTAGTCTCTAACAATCATGTATTAAAGATAATTTTATATTATATCGAGGAGCTCTCTAGGGTGGTAGTTAGCGCGTTGTCGGTGATCCGGAAGTTTTGCAAGGCCGGTAATGGGATTTTAATATCTCGAGCAAATTTAATATCTCGAACACCTCAGAAGGAATATCCAGTCATTGTTATGCTGCATTTGCCGTTAACCAATACGCACTGAGCCCGCGTGGCGAGTCATAGACACAGAACATAGAAAAGAGGTCTTTCTGTCTTGATCATGGATATCCCTATTCGATTCAAATTTATTTTTACAGACGGCTTGTGCTGCAGCAATGGGGACTGAAACAATACGTATTATAAAAGATATCTGTCTTACAGGACCCGTGAATTAGGAAAAGTAATATCACAAATAATTTTAACTATCTTTTCCTCTTAAAATTTTTCAATGCAGTTGATGAGGCAATAGAAACATTAAATTATAGCACACTAACAAACGACTTCATACCACAAGTCATCTGCAAGTAATTGTAAGGTGATAAATACACCAACAGTGCAGTTATCCTTGAAATAATAGCCACTTCGCCACAAACGACTTTACAATTGAATATTACTCGTGGTTTGTGTTTGCAGCATGTAACTATAACTTTTATGTCTAGTTTACAAGTAACTCTTGATTTATTCCATTTATTTTATGGATATTATTTTTTGCGGTGATTTTTCTTAGGATTTTTTGTAATTTGCATATGCTGAATTTAGAAGGATTATATTTAAAAAAAAAGTACATGGATGTGCTATACTTTTGAAAAGGTAACCTGTTGGATAGAGAATAAAATACTTTTAATTTAATTGAATAATAGATGAGTATATTATGATCTCTTGGCTGCCTCATAATGGACTAAATCCCAAGCGCCCGAACCTAAAGAGCTATCACGTTACTAAGTATTTAATATGCTGAATGTAGAAGGATTACACTAAGTAGAAGGATTACACTAAAAAGATGCACATGATACATCCATTTTTCTGCTTGCTCAATCATGGATGTGGCATACTTTTGAAAAAACGACCTGTTGGATGAAGAATAAAAAAACCTTACTTTTAATGTTAAATTTAATTGATTAACAGATGAGAGTATTATGATCTCCTGGCTGCCTTACAATGGATCTAAATCCCAAGCTCCTGAACCTAAAGCTATCGCGTTATTAGATATATTAGCCTAAATTCTTTTAATATTGGATTCAAGCAAAATGCATTCATGTTAACATACTATACAGTATTGAATGTTGAGTACATTTTAATAGGGAAGATGAAAAAAAAACAATTAGTCTATCAGTCAGATATAAGAAATACACATTTTTTTGTCACAATTTCACAAGAAATGACTTAGGTTATGACTATTAAAGTTACGGAGTGGGGGCTCACTACGTCACGACTATGAAGAAAATGTACAAAGGTGTGACGTCATACGCCATTTCAACTCAATGTATCGCCGTTATTTATTAATGACGGAAAAATATAAAAAATACGTCTTTTACACGTGACGGACAAATAAACAAAAATTATTCATCACCCCTATTGAATCCGATTCCAACCAAATCAAAGTCAATGTAGTTACTAGATGAGCTTACCGGTGTTCATTGATTGTTTGTTATTTTTAATGTAGGTGTCTGTTCTATAGATATAATTACCAGATAAAAAAAAACAAAAGAGCATGTCAGAGAGTAGTGAATGACGTCACCCACATTTACATCCGTGTGAACTAGACATAACCTTCGTTTTGTTCTTGATCATCAATGTTCGCTACCGTCAGATTAATCATTGGGATAAGTCATGGAAAAAATATTTTTATTATTAGCAAACAGTAACACTCGTTTTCTTAATTGAGAATTTAAAGTTAAGCACGTTTCAAACCGTACTTAATTTACCTTAAACGTCACATATACAGGTTTTTGCTTTTGATTTCAATTTTTTAATGATTAGTTGATAGGAGTTTTAAAAAAACTAGGATTTTTGTCATGTGAAACGTAAAAATCTCAAGTTATTGAGAATAATCAATTGATATTTTGCACTTTTCCCAATTCAGATAACGGCATATTAACTATTTTCTAATTCATAGAAGTCGAATATAGTATCTACTAGCTTTCGCCAGCGGCTTCGCCCGCGTGGACCCTAGGGCAATGTTTAGAGGGATAAAAAGTATCCTATTATCTAAGTCAGCTAATACTCTATCTGTATACCAAATTTCATCAAAATCCGTTCAGTAATTTCGGCGTGATTGACGGACAAACATCCAAACATCTAAACATCCAAACAAAGAAACTTTCACATTTATAATATTAATAGGATTAATTTCGATATTATTAAAGCAATATTATACACATTGTTGAAATATCTAAACTGAATTGCTTGATTAGGTACCTAATCATAGGTTTATGAAAATTATAAAGAACAAAAGTACCATAACAACCACATCCAAAACAATAAATAGTTTAATTTGACCATCGACGCATCCATGATTAGAATTTGAGACCTCAGAGATAACGAACCAAAACGCTAGCCGCTCTTCTACGAATGTCATTACAATTTATAACACCAATGAAGTGTGACAATGATTTTTGTAAAAGTAGGGAAAAATATTCACCTGGGACATTTAATTTGCACACTTACGAAGCTTAATAATTCTATTTTTGGTCCGACTATAAAATTTGTATGTAGTAACTTTAAATTACCTTACATTACTCGACATACATACCAAGTAGAACTAAACACTCATTTTTTCTTATTACGTATCAGATCCTGGTGTGCTTATGGGCGATTGACAAGAAAACACAGGCGATACAATTAGCATAGTGGCATTCCGTAGCATTCGCAAGAAGTTTCATCGACTGGTCCCATTACATTAAGTGTAGGTATTCCACGCTTACTGGGATTACAGTATAATCTTATTAATTTTGAATGAAGGTTTTGAGGACGGATGAACGTAAGTTTGTTACTCTTTCACGCAAAACCTACTGAAAGGATTTTGATGAAATTTACCTTTTCCTAATGTTCCACTGCTGGTCGAATTCTTTCCCAAACAGATAAAAATGGTCGGTGACGTAAGTCTAAACTATTATTAAAATGAGCGTTAATGACTGTCAACTAAAGATAACGATTGATAAGATTTTTCTCTGGTGTAGATTTAACTGTTATAAATGTCTGAAAGAGTAACAATGTTTCTAAAAGTAATAAGTCGTTACAATGTCAATGTATCTGGAACAATTTCGAAATATAATTGATATAGACATCATCCTATTAAACTGGAACAGATTACGCCTTAATTGTATTAAACAAATTAAAATAAAACCAGTTCTTGGAAGCAAATTAAATATTTCAATTTATCCAGTAGAGAAGAAACCGGCTCCTTGATTGGTATCTCATAAGTTATAAAATTATAACTAATTTTAAATTCACGTAAAGCCTACTTTCTTGATGTAACTAAAACATAAGACTAAAACTTAATGTCTACTTAATATCGGGCAGTATGGTGTTCCTACATAAGCATGATCACAGTATTGCAACGATACTCGGGTCTGCATTCCTTAAACCGCGATACAAATTGACGTGGGGCCTTAAGGCCTCTTTATTGAGATCCAATAGCAATGGTGGAAGCAGTATGACGCATTTATATAGCGGTGCCTCGACTTTACACTGCTAACATTGGTAATATTTTTTTCCTGACATACCCTCTGTCCCGGCTGTATTTGCAGTCACTAATACCCAATCCGCATTGGGCCAGCGTGGAGGGTCATGGCCCATCTTCATTAACCATCCATAAGGAAGGCCTGAGCCCCTGCAGTGGGGACGTAAAAGGGCTGATGATGATGATACGGTTGTTTAACCATTTTCGCAATGGTCGGTCATAGGATGGGTGACCGAAAATTATTATCTCGTGTTTTATTATGCTTCGTTAGGCACGCTTACTTGTTAGTCCCTGCAGCATAATTACCCATCAATCCACACGCGTGGTGTGTCATGGCCCGTTCTCCAAATCTATTTGATACGATTCCATCGTAAAGGAAAAGTAGGGACATCAATAAGCTGGTATTTTGTAGGATTAATAAATATCGTGCAAAAAATACGATCATACACATTTTTATACTTATTATATAATATTTATATAAATAATATTATATTTATTTGTAAGCAAATCGGTACTGTATATATATATAGTAATCGTAAAATGTATTTTCTGCACTTACGTGTAAAATGAATTCATATAATTGGTACCCTTTATTCCAAAGCTACGAAGCCGAAAATTCAGAAAATATAGTTGTTCACTCTTCAAACAACAATGGTTTTTAAAATTAAGTATTTTCACGGAAATTCACAGACAATTTTTAAACCAAATAGTAAGGGCTTCTAATATTTTAATAATAATATTTGTTTAGATAATTAACATTGAAAATGACGCATCCGGTCCAAATTGGTGACACATGTAATTCAAACAATGATAAAATGCTACTTTTAATCTTATATCATTATGTTAGTTTAGAAGTAACCATTGAAGACAACGCAATATGCAACTTATTTAGAGGTAATAAGGTTTTAAATATTAAGCAATATAGAAAAAATTATGGTTCCTTCAAATATTTGGAATTTTCCTCGCGTAATTAAGAACGTAATTGGTGCCTCAGGTTTTATCACTGTATTACCCTAAAACTACATTCTGTTTTGTGTAAAATTCGGAGTTGAATAAATAAGGAGTTAGCATTTAGACTGCTTTAATATTTATATATTTGGTCTTTAACTACATGAATTAGAGCGAATTACTTAAATCATTAGCTTTCAAGAGGTTTAGTAAAAAAAAAATGTCCAAATAAACTGTAAATAAAAATAAGCAAGCTACATCGCTCACTGAATATTACAGTGGCACAACTCAAAAACCATTTTTTCGAGAAAACGCCACAACATTGTGGTGGCATCCCATAGATAATTAAAAGAAAAAATAAAAAACTTAACAGTAATAATATAATACAAACGATTTAACTGTTATGCTAAAAAAATGATATATTAAATTTTCCTAACTTTGGAGAGCGTTTCTCGAAATATGGTTTTTGAGTTGTGCCACTGTACTATTCAGTGAGCGACATATTAAAAAGAGGTAAAGTTTGAAGGAGGTTAGGAAATACTGTGGGCTAACTCTATCGCAATAACTTTCAATAAGACATTTAAAAGATATTCAAGAATTCTTAAACTGCTTTCTGCTGTATCTCATCACATAGCCCAATTAATTAAAAAGGGACAATCTTTTGGCTTTGGATTCTTAAGTAGTTAATACGGATATATCACATATTTTAATAACATGTTTCAATATTATAATATTTTTAGAGTTAACAAGAACGCAATTAACATCGCAAAGAGAAATTTGGAAAAATTTGGTCTTTGAAAAGTTCGAAACTTAGATATCAATAAGTGGTAGGGGATACAAGTGGTAGGGGAAAAAAGTTTTTTGGACGATTCAAAAGTGCTTGTAATAGCCTACTTGAATAAAGATATTTTCATTTCATTTCAATACAAATACGAAAAAGTACAAATAGAATATGAGTTGTTTACTGAGTTTTAATTTAATTTTAAACGTGAAAGAAAACCGGGAGGCTGGTCATGGTGTAATCAAGAACGTACCGTAGCGACATCTAGTATGATTTCGGGTACTAAAGTTTATTTTTTAATACTTCCTCATTCGAGTATAACATTTACGAAAAAAAAAACAACGGTTAATTTCTTTCCTACTGTCGTATTATCTACTACTCCTCTAAAATTTATTTTAATTTTATTACCGTTACCCAAGTTATAGAATAAGGATGATGGCTAATTTTTGTTTTTCTGTTCGTCGTATAGAATATTAAACACGTTTTTTGTTATTTTTCGCGTAATCAATAAATTAATTACAGTGATAAATCGAGTTGAAATGTCACATGACGTCACGACATTTTCATGCATTTTCTACATATGTAGTTGTGCCTCCACTCGTCAATGTAGTTGTACATTGACGAGTAATGTAGTTTAATGAGAATCATCTAAGCCATTTCTTGTTGAAGCAAAAAATACTTATCTAATATCTACAGTTTTTTTTTACCCAGTCATCATCTCTATTGAAAACGCAGTTCGTCAGGATCCAAACTACATATAACTCGGGGGAATTAACGTGAGATCTGAGGGATTATATTTGATCTGATACGAAAGTTTCATGATATCTGTTGCATCATAAATTATTAATAAATGCATTTCTGTGGAGTCAATATAGATCTAAAATAGATGAAATTTAGTTTTCGGAGAAATAGAATACACCATCAGGTGTCATGTTTATTCATACGAGTAGTAAATTGTTACGGGCTGCCTTAATTTGCCATCTTAATTTTAATTTTGAGTAAACCAATATTTAGTTACACTCAGTTGTTTAATCACCATTAAAGGTATATAGTTTATCTCGATGGCTAAAGCCGATAGTAGCTGGGTAATAACTGTCCAAAGAGTGATAGGCAATATTTATTTACGACGTAAGAAAATTCTCTTGCCAAAAAAGACTTTATGTTGTTGACAATAAGAACTTTTCTATTATAAAAGTAGCTGGTTAAAATACAGGGCTGGCAATTTTTACTTGTTTTATTTAAATAATATAATTTCATTCTAGTTTATTGTGTGTTTTCATGTATTTTTTAATGAAGTTATTTCGTTCACCGTAATAATATTAAATGCGCAAGTAAAAATACTAATAAATACACCAAATGCTAATTATACTGATAAGGTAAGGTTAGCTAGATATTTTTTTTAAAATATAATATTATGATAAAAATTCTACAAATACAAATCGCACGTTGAGAACGATAGTGACACAATGCAAAAAATGCGATTTTGAGTAATGAGCGTTTAAAGTTTAAGAAATTGTAATCCGCCCCTCTAAACAACGTATCGCCACTACGCCACCTAGCAGTTTCTATGCAAGCTACGTTCACAGGGATCTTTGCATTTTAAAGTTTATACTTAACAAAGAAAAATGTTGTCAAAAGTAAAAAATACGTCATTTTTGGTTAGTGACATTGTCATTCTCAACGTGCGAAATTATCATTGATATTTGTAGTATGGCAGTTTCAAATTATAAATTGAAATAATTATAAACAATTTTATTTGTTTCTATCATTATGTTAGTGATAATCGGGAGGTCTATTGGGATGGGCAATGAATTTCTAGTTTATTCCATTATTTTTATTGATTCTGATATATATCGCCATACAAAAAGGTTTTGCAATTTTTTTATTTTGTAGTTTATAATTTCTAAATAAATAAGAGATGTCAGTTTTAAAGTTTCTTTTTTAGTCACTTCCGTTTATATTAACGCCAACAAAAATAGTTATCTTTTTTTTAATTCATAAATGTTTGAAAGTACTTATAATTATTCACGTTTTTATGTACAATATGTCCTTTAATTTATTATATTTAAAAATGTATGGTAGGTAATTGATAGTACTTATCCCGAAGTAGACAACCCTAATAAAGTATCTAGTTCCCTAACGAGTTTATACGTTTTTGAGATTTATTACGACACCAGGGATTAGAATTTATAAAGTGGTCGGGACGGAATTCCGTTTTTTTTTATCCGATTTATTCAGCCTTAGATACTTAATAATCTATGGCATGTTGTCCAACAATAACCATCACAGAGTTTAATATTATGTAAGAATAATTTAAAATCGTATTTAAAACAGAGGAAGTTGGGTTTTAAAACGTGTAGATCGAAAACAAGTATAACGTCAATTCAACAATTCAATCAACCAAAGTGGGTTCTATATATTTGAAGCCAAAGTTAATATTTTTCAAAATGGCGGAAAATAGGAAATATGAATTATTATTTGACAAAATCATTTAAAAGCCAAATTGTATTAGATGTTACAGCTACCTTGGCGAACTATTGCAGATAGTACTTCTTTAACATGTTAATAAAAGGAAATGGCTTGGCAAAATAAACAAGCCGTGCCTGCCATATTGTATTAAAAAAAAAGAAAATAGCATATCGATCGGGGACCACCACATTTAAAACTCTTTGGAATGTGTTATGGAATTAAAATAGGTTATAAACAAATCCTCACCTGTAAGTGCTCATCATCTTTAGTCTTTTCCGGCTGAGTGAACTGCGCATGTAAAGCATGCTGCTTGCCTCCCAGAGGCAATGTAGGTGCTTCGTTCCGCCATGTTCGTTCATCCTGTCTGAAACCAGGATTGTCGAAGGCGAACTCATCTTTGACCGACTCGGGATCTGTTGAGAAGACTAGGTGTTTGCCTGCGGACAAAAAAATAGTTATAAAACCTCTTTAATCCTATTACAATAAATTAGAAATTGGGATTGGGACCCAATATTATATTATGTATATAAATATTTTGTGCTTTTTATAATGTTGGGTCGTAAAGTTTTTTTTGAAGTGGCAGTGAATAATGAGATACTTAGTGAAATAAGATATTGCGTCGGTGCGATTTAGGGTTCTGTATTTAATGGAACTCCGAGAGACCTTATATATATCTGGACCTGAAAAGCATTAGGTCGGATGTCGGGAATCTTAGGCATAACTGTATAAAAACAGAAATAGCTAAATGCAATCAAAATATTTGAAAAAGTCGTCTGATCCGACTTTATGCATGACTGTTGCTCATGAGTAAAAAGGCACAAACATACAAGAGTTAATTTGCCGGAAAGAGAAAAAAGAGTGTAGCAACGTTATGGCGATAAGTGATTTTAGCTGGTTCTGCACATCCGACCTAATGTTTTTCAGGTCCAGATATATTATATGTATATACCTGTGCAAGTTGGCAAAATGGCACGGGCCTCCTGCTGGAAGTCCCCCCCCCCCCCCCCGGTTATAGGAGAATCGTTACTCCTGATATTTATTATTATATTTGCCACGGGCCTCCACCAGCATAGTTACACCACTGTACCTGCGGACCTACTAGCAGCAAGTTGTCTGTCCGTCTGTCTAGAACAAGGTTGTATTATTTGGACTGCAAAAAACTGCAAAAAATTGTTCAAATATACGCGGAGAAGGGTTAACTAAACTCATTAACGTGATATGTAAAAAGTCTTTAAATCTTATAATCGATAATATTAACGACTGCAGATGAAGCGGAGGAGCTCATGTAATAAATTTTCGGTCATCCTGTATGTTGTGTCCATTCCACTCTTATTCGGCTGATTTTTTGTCTATTATTTAGTTGCACTGATGTTTATCTTATTTCTTTTGTGTAACTCATTGTGCTAACAGACAAACATAAAATTTATGTGTACCTTTTGTTAAAAAAAGGATGCAACCTAACATTGAATTATGCTCAACCTGACTTCCTGTATGTCTATGGTAAAAATTTAGGAAAAACAAACTTTTTGGTATATTTAACTTTAGTATAAGCAAATACTATTATCGATTACGATACGATACGATATTGAGGGGAATATGAAAATATGTATACTACAATTTTTTGCAGGGTTGCAGCTTTATTTATAGTAATACTGAAACACATTGTCTTCAGAACTAAATTACAGGACAATCGATCGTCAGGAAGGGGATAAGAGCCACTCATAGATTGAGCATAGATATCGGGGGTGAAGTGACATCTGGCAGCACGTTACACTCTTTTTCTATCGCTCAATCCTTTACTGTCGCTAAGAATCGCCCTTGGTTAAAGCAAGAAAGATAGCATGTTGACTATAGCATCGCATACCCGTTATATTTCTAGCAAATAACGGTTCTATGCGACGAAAAATATAAGGCGATAATAGCTTGATGCTAAATGTAGCTAACCGCTGTTATTTTTTTTTTCCTTTTTCTCTTTATTTTGGTACAAACAGTCATTACAATAAAGTGACATGACATTGCATATTTATGTATGCATAACCCTAAATCAAATAATGGAAATTTTATTCGATCGATTGCCAAATGTCTTATTTTAAAATTTATCGCAATCGCTTATAAAGGTATAGCGATTTATGGAATAACTTTTAACTTTAACTTGCACCTTCGGAATCACTTTGGTAATGAATGATGATTTGAATGATTAAGAAACGTAATAAAAACTTAGTAACTTCAAGTAATATTATCGTGTGACACTTGCCTTAGATCGTTCCAATTAACATCAAATTTACTGTATCTTTTATTCATAACATTAAAAAAACTAGATCAAAATAGCTTTCATATTTTAAATTATTGTAGGATTGTTGGAAGTTCATCTATACCTTTCAAATGTCAAATCGAATGGAACGAGATAGATTTTAAAATTGGATAATTAACCCTGTTTCCCAGTTACTGCCAGATATAACTCAACCTTTAATTAAAGTTCTACGTAAAAAACTATTTAAAAACGCTTATCCAAGGTGACTGACAAAACTGTCGTCAGCAAATGTTATAAAGAGTGTGTAAAGAGAAACCGAAAGTGTTTATTTTACGAACCAAGACAAATAAAGTCCATTAATTTTTTAAGAGAAAGTATCTATCTAATTGGCGTGGATATAACAAGTATTTTAACAAGTTAGCAACATGCGAACAATACTACAAAGGAGAGCTAATCTTTAATTGAGTAATCGATAACTTTTTAGTTAATAATAACATTATATACCTGTATAATATTATAAAGCGGCAAAATCTTTGGCCAAGAGAAACGTACTTGCTTTTAGCCCTACTGGGGGCCAATTCTACTAATTTACAACGATCGATCATCAATAGCGTTTCTGTAACGGTTACGTTTCGATTTTTGCTGTAAATTTGCATTCCGCTAACGTAAATTATCAAACGAACGCTTACTAAACTGAAACGTAATCGGAGCCAAATCGCAGCCGAACCAAACAGCTGTCATTAGTGTTACCAGAATAAAATAAATGAAATTATTAGTTAAACGGGAGACGATTAATGATTATTCATTCCTTCATTTTTTTATCATTTCTGTACGTAATGAATCTATTATATTCTTATTCGAACGTTTTAAAATACGGACGAAACACCCGAATATTAGCTACATTAAGAAAGTGCATACCTAAGTGTTAAGCTATAAGGGAAAATACCCAAAACGCGAATTTATAATTAATATTATTATCATTATGTTCATCGAAAATAGAACAGATTCTCATGTAATATATTGACAGTGTGTTTATAATGTATCAAACAACTATTTTAATTAATTAGTTTTCAGAAAATCGTCATATACCCAATTCTAACTTTTATTAAGCACTCAATTTTAAACATGCTTAATATTTAAAGCATAAATCCGATATACTTAAGTCTTTTAATTAACAAAAAAGTCAGATGAAATACTATAAATCCTGGCGTCGCCTAAAGATAACGTCAAGCTTAAAGAGTTAAGTTTCAAAATTCGAATGGTGTTGGTTTATTTTATTGTTTATACCGAGTTTTAATTCGCAAAATAAATGTTATTATGTGAGATAAAGTAGCATGAAAGTGAATAATATGATTCCGTAAAATAAAACGGTACCTACATAGGTAGGTCGTGAACAGAAAAGTCATTTTCGGTCACTAACAAACTGTAATAAGTGAGGTATGCAATCAGTCCAAGGCTAGGACGAGCATTAATCCAGAGGTGTATACTTTACTTTAAACAACTCCATTTCAAAAGAATGTACAACAAAAATAATCATTAAATTTATATATTTGTTTGTACTAACAATTAAATGTTTAAGTTAAATGATGATTGCATATGACTTTAGTAACTTCAATCCATTTAAACAGAATTCATTAAACTTCATTGAATATCATCGGACTTCATCAAACTACATGGATAGTTCATATTGTGACTTTATAGGACTTCATTAGGTTTTCATATAACATTTCCAATTACGGGCATTGGAAATTACATAATAATAATAATATATATATATTTATTTATTTGGGCGTTGTTGAATCAACAACCGTAGTAGTCCGTAAAACTTAGGAAAAATGCAAAATTGCACCAAAATTAACTAAAAGTATATTAAAGTTTTTTTTATTCAATAAATGTTACTGCAGTTCTATTACATATAGTGAATTAATCGATTATTTTCCAATCGATGTTTGATTTTCATATTGCAACACCAATTCACTTTTTGTCAATACAAACCACAATGATACAGACAATGTTTTAATTAATCTTTCATTCATTACTTTTTCATTTTACATGTAGAAATTAATTTATTCACTTGACTTTGGCAGAATTGTGTGAAATGCGCAGATATACCATTAATAAAAGAAGAATGAAATTGACAAAATTGAATTGTAAATGACAATTTAATATTTTTTTTTTTTTTTTTTTTTTTTTTCTTTCTGGCTTCGCACGGCTTGTGCATTTAGCCAATGACATTATTTTTTGAGTAAAGTTAGGGAAACGTCAGGAAAGGGATAAAGTTTAAGGTTAACGGGAATTTGGAATAATAAGGATTAGAAGGGTATAAGGATAAGATGAAGGATATTATTATAACATAAGGTAGGTAAAGGAATGATAGAAATAAATTATATTACAGTTTAATATTGTTGAAAATAATAAATTTTGCTAGGGATTTATATACAGATGGGTTATTCGTAGCGAGCAAGGAGGATACGGAAGTTGGGAAAGGAATTTTAATTGATATTAGGTCATTTAAAAAGAAGGAGCGATCATACTTTAAACAAGCAAAAATGATGTGATTTAGTTCGCCAATAATACCCTTACCGCAGTCACAAATGTTATTGTTAATAATACCAAGTCTAAAGAGATGATCAGGAGTGCAAACATGTCCAAGTCGCATGCGAATTATTATTGAAATAGCCTTTCTTCCGTAATCAGCAGTACGGTACCATGGTTTAACAGAGATGTGTGGTTGAATAGAAGCATAAAATTTACCTTTTTTACTTGAGCTATTTTCCCAAATATTACACCAGGCACTATTAAGATCAGTCTTGGCTATAGACAAGAGGTCATGGCTAAAATTTTTATATGGATGCATGTCACCACAGTTCACGGCCTCATTTGCTAATATATCAGCTATCTCATTGCCACCTATACCGCAATGACTTGGGATCCACATAAATTGTACGTAGTAGTTGTTAACGTAACACTTATAAAGTAATTTTCTTATTTCAGAAATAACAGGATAATATGTTTTCATTCGAAAGGGAAATTTACCAACAGCCTGAAGAGCGCTCATTGAGTCACAGAATACAATTGTTTTCTTAAGCTTCATAATAATAACATATTCCAGGGCCTTTAAAAGTCCATAACATTCACCTGTGAAAACTGAGGATTCGGGTGGAAGTTTAATTTTTTGAACAACAT